CACACTTCCCACACCTGTCTGCGCAAACACAATGAGCAGGAATGCACCCATCAGTCCAAACTTAGAATTTCTTTTACTGTCTGATTAGATGTTGGCCTGTGTAAATCTCTGCCTCAGATTTCCCACACTGGTTGATTTCTGGATGAGGAAGTAGAAAAGGGGAAACACCTTGGCCCCAATATGATAATTAGTTCTTAAGTGCAAGAGAGAAATGATCATTTCATCACTTCCTCCCATTTGATTCAATTGAGAGATGAAATCTCCTCAGTGAATCACTGACATCACCATCCCTTCATTTCTCACAATTTGCACATAAATACACATCTACACACATTTTGTATACATTTGTATTTAATCATTTATAGTTATTTTACACATTTTTACATGTACTTTTTGTCTCCTCCTTTAGAATATGAGCTTTTCAGTAGGAAAAGTTTCATTTTTTGTACTTGTATCCCCAGCATTTGGCTCAGTGTCTGACACATAGTAGACACTTAATAAATGTTTAATGATTACTGATTGGTTCTTCTGGGTCCAGTGATAATAGGTCTGGGAAGGAGAACATGTTGAGGTGGGAGCATCCTCCTATCTGTGTGTATAGTGAACAGAGAACTGTTACATAATTGTAGGAATACAGGAAGAGTGGGTATAACCTCCACATAGGGCAGTAAATTTTGGGGAAAGGCTTCAAATACAGTTCATAAGAGAGGAAAAGGCTCAAATAACTACTTTCGGTGGTCGAGTATTGAGAACACCACTCTCATTCTCTGATTCCTGGTCAAGTTCTAGTGGTCACAGTCCTCTGTGGACATTTCACCAATGTCCTTTTCTCCTTTACCAAAGTAGATGTGTCTACTTGAAAGAGATCCCCTAAGGCACTGTTCATTTACCAAATGAACAGTAAACAGCACAGTTCCTTGATCACATCAAAATAATTTAAATGAATACACCTTTAAAGCTCACAAAAGATACTCATTTTGAAAAGCAATGATTTCTATAATGAAAATGAGCTTTATTAAGTAATAAAATATGCAAATAGTTTTAGTCATTTACTTTTTTAAAAAAATCATTCGGTGCCAGACTCAAGAGCATAAATCTAAAATCTTCATAATGATGGGGGTGCTTGTGCTTGGACCTCAGCCTAGGACATATCTCTCCCCAGCACAAAAACACTATCTCTGGCAATAACTCATGAGTGGGGCCCAGGGAAGCAAACTATCTCTCCCTGTTACAAGAAGAAGCTGACTTCTATAGAATTTCCCTTGTATGAACAGGACTATCTTGCACCAGCAGAATTATCAGGTACTGATTCCCACAGTTACCATATACATTCCAGAGGTCAAGCCATAGACATCAACTCCCAAGGCTATCTTGTTACAGTTGTAGATGTACAGAAATAAAGACTCCTTAGAAGCCCCTTCCCCCAGGCCCTGCCAGTAGTGAATGACACCTATATCCAAAGTATAGAAACTGTATGTTTACCACCTAATTAGCATATTTACCACACGATTCACTGAACCTTTTCTATGTAAGCTTTAGCATCACTCCTGTTAGGTTGTAAGTTCCCTAAAGGAGCTCTGTCTGCCTTTATGAGCATTATAATAAACTTTTTGTCACTTGACTGGAAGACTGCTTGAGTCTGAGAATTCTTTCCAGACAATTCTGCCCTGAACCTCGGTATTTTGGGGTCCCTACATCCCTAAAGGGCATCAATATAGAAGGTAATTACTTGGGTTTTTTAAAGTTTTTGATAGGTGGCCAATGTTCTGTATTTAAATTTAAATACATGCATTTTAAATATGTGCAAATGAAAATATGTGGAAATTGAAAACTGATTTTTAATTCTGTTGGTTAAGAATTAATTAAGTCAGCTTAGATTTAATGTTCTCCTTCCCCATGCGAATTTAACTCCCTTGTCCCTGAAAGTGTACTCAGGTAACTTGAGGTGGCTTAGATCACAATTCTATTCTTATGACTTGTCCCTCCACCCTTGTAACTTCAACCACCATCCACACTTCAGGAAAACTTGCCTGTCAGTCTCATAAATCTAAACTGTTGCAGCAACTCCCATGACATGAAAACTACTCCTATTACCTGAGAAGTGATCTCATCTCTCAATGATGTAATGGGGAAGAACTGAGATGACACTTACTCCATCTCCTCAGTGAAATGTCTAGCCAATCAGAAGACACACCTATGTTCCTCAAGACTTTGCTCTTTCACCTTGTTAATTGCTATAAAATATCTTATCATCCCTGACTGGGGCCTTTGACTACTAAGGAGCTATTGACCCCTTTTATTGGCAAATGCTGGCCTTGCTAATAAAGGGAACATATCTGAAACCTTATTGCCTCAGTTTACCTTAATTTCTACCATGACAATTGATTTCAAAACACAATCATGCTAATACTTTCATAACATGAAACTATTTTTTTAAAGTAGAGTACCAGGTGGCTAACTGGGCCATACCATGCTGCCAGGTAAACATTTATCTAGTGGTTAGCATTTACTTAGTCCTGAATACTTGCTTTGAGGTACCTGGCTGCTGCTCCCTATACCTTAGGTGTAGCCTGATCACTGATCAGTTGCTGCTACTGGGTAAATACAATCACACAAGCAGAAGTATAGTAGAGGCTCCCAGCAGGGTCAAAGAAGTACCAGGCATGTGGATATTCAAGTTGGTCCCAGAAGATATGCTTGAGAACACAAGCAGCTCCAGGAACTAGACTGTCCCTTGATACAAGTGTTACTGCTTAAGAAATGATAGGAATTTAGAAGCTTAAAAAGAAATTGAAAGAAGTCCTCTTATTAAAAGAATAAAATGTCCCAATTACTAAAAATTACCTACAGACAAGTTTGAATTGGAGATATAAGAGTAGAAATTGACTCTAAATGGAGGCTAAGAGCGCTAAATATTGAGGGTACTTATTCAGGTACTTATCTGTAAACATACTTAATTGCAAAGCAACTAGTATTTCCTATGTCTGATTAAGTGATGGAAAACTTTAGGAAAAAATTAACTCTACTCCCTAGCCCTCTTTTGACCTGCTGTAATGGGGGGTCTGGATCTTTCTCACCTCCTGAGATAGGGTCTTTCCACTCTCTGTACATGTGTAGAGGCTTTTTCTGGGAATATCATGATGATATGAAAGGAAATTACCTAGAGAGATTAGAGCACTCATGGGCATTCTATAACTGGTTCTGTTTGGTTAAACTGGTGGTGGTGGTGGTTGTCCTTTGTTTCAGAAGAGGACCAAAAGGACACCACTATGTTAGAATCAAGTTGCACTGTGTCTGCCTGTGGCTGATCAGACCAATATGAGCTCAGAATGCTCTACCACAGGTCGGGCATAAATAGTCCATGGGAACATTTGGGGTGGATTCTCTAAATCTGTGCATCTCATGTCTCTTTTGAGTTACTTCAATTCTGCTTTGCTCATAGAGCATAGCACCTTCTTTGATGAAGACACACCAAGCTAGGCAGAACTGTGCCAGTGTCTCCCATGTCACACAATCAATTCAGTTTCAAAGTTCTTCAGAGAGACCTTGAGGGCATTCTTGTATTGCTTTTTCTCACCACCACGAGAGTGCTTGCCTTGTGTGAGTTCTCCATAAAATAGTCTTTTAGGCAAGCATGTGTTTGACATTTGAACAACATTGAATTCTCTGCAGTAGAGTTTGAATGCTTGGCAGTTTAATTTGAGAAAGAACCTCAGTGTTTGGTACCTTATCCTGCCAGGCAATCATCAGAATCTTCTAAGACAATTTAAATCAAGTGATTCAGTTCCTTGACATGGTTCTTGTATATTGTCCAGGTTTCACAGGCATACACTAAAGAGGTCAGCACAATGGCTCTGTAGACTTTCAGTTTGGTAGTCAGTCTAATACCTCTTTTCTCCCACACTTTCCTTCAGAGTCTCCCAAACACTGAACTAGCTCTGGCAATGCATGTGTCAACCTGGTTATCAATGTGTACATTCCTGGAAAGTACATTGCCAAGGTAAGTGAACTTATCCACAGTATTCAAAAACTTCTCTATTTGCTGTAAGCACCATGCAAGGCTGGTGTGGTGCTGGCTGGTGGATCATCTATGTTTTCTTGGTGTTGATTGTTAGACCAAAATCAGCATAAGCAGCAGAGCACTAATCCATACTTTATTGCAAATCACAACTAAAATCTCACCTTCTACAGGAAGTCTTTCCCTATCCCTCTTAATTCTAGAGCTTTTCTTCTGTTCATTATTTCCTATTCATTACATATTACATATATATGTATATATATATATATATATATAATATATATATAATATATATATATTATATATATATATACACACACACACACACACACACACATATATGTATATATATGTAGCTTGTTTATACATATTTGTTTGTTTGTTGTCTCTGCCATTAAATTGTTAGTTTCTTGAAAGCAGGGGCTTTTTGTCTTTCTTTGTATCCCCAGTGCTTATGGAAGTGGCTGGCACACAATAGGCACTTAAATGCATATTGGCAGTAGATACTTAATAACTGCTTGTTCTCTCTTTGCTCCCCCCCCCCAAGCTGGGTATCACTATAGTCAGCACAGCCCCTTAGTCAGTGAGGGTTAGTGAGTTTTCTATTTTAGCATTTATTTTGTGTGTAGAAAATAAATGCCTGTCCCATACCTGATTCATTTTTTACACTAAGGACCTTTCTACTCCCCCTTTTGGTAAAACCCTAACCAGGGGCCTAAACTCAAGCTTCAATGAACCAGAGAATTAGAGAAAAAGGAGCACCCCCTCCCCCATCCCTTAGCCAGGCTATCCTAGGATTGAAGCCAGTGTGGTCTGGATGTCTGGATAAAGAGCAGAGAATCCCCTTAGGAAGAGGGAGATGCTGAGTGCCCCAATCTTTTGACTTCAGTGGGGGTCCTCAATATTGTTTGTTTTGCATGGTATCTGTGGTTAAATTGGATATGGAATGTATAGTGAGGAAACTACCTCCCATCAATGATAGTCATAGTTTGTGTACTTTATTTTTTCTCTTTTATTGCAGATATTCAGCTTTCTCTGAATGTATATTAGTGACCAAAGACATGCAAACATCTTTAAATTTATATAATAGACTTACATAAATAATCTTACATGTGTTTATTTTAATCCGATTCTCAACATTTCTTTGCTTATAATTTCAGCAAGTTAAGGAACATAGAAACTGAGGTATTACCTGCACTAATTCTACTTCAAAGCCTCATGATGGCATAGAGATGACCCTCTGGAAGAACTTACACCAAGCTGCAAAGACTTCATGCTTGGGTCTGGCCAGACTGTACATCTGTTTTCCAAGGACTAGGCTACTTAAGTTTCAAGAGGCTCATCATCAGGCTGACAGCAGGGGGATGAATTTTCCAGCTATCGCAACTGAAAACCATTTTGTAGACTATAGTAGGATTGCAAAGGGTAAGAGGGATGGAAGACACACACTGATGAAATCACAGATCTTTGAAGGGAGATAAAAAAATACAGTCATGATTCAGTTTGTTGCTATTACAGATTCAAGTAACATAACAAAGGTGATTTTAATAGGACAATGGATTGAACAATTTCAAATATCTTCTTTGATTGTAACTTTGTATAAGCCATGTATACTCACTTTCAATGATTGCTTTTTTGAAAAATTATATATTTGTCTTTAAAAAAAGTACTTGCATGAAAAATTGAAACACTATATTAACATGTTTAGAGAAACAGTACACTTGGAAGAAACAAAAATATAACCACACTTCTGCACCACTGACAAAAAAAGCTTTCCTTCATCATTGTATTCTTTCTTCATATAGTAAATATGTGTCAAGAGCTGTAATTTTTCTAGACTTGGAGGTAACACTGACTTTTTTTTTCATTGCATAAACTGAGTAAAAAAAAATCAGCTATTTGATCTCGCTAACTTTAAAAGTAATTTAAGAAGATTTTTTTTCATGCCAATCAAATACATTTTAAGTTAACTTTCAAAATAGAAAAGAAAATAAGTTGACAGTGCCATACTACACTTCTATACTAGATATGGTTACAAAATGTCAAAAAATCAACATAACAAAGAGTTTTTAACATTCCAGCTTTTCCAGAAAATCACATTCAACACTTTCTTCCAGTTGTTTCAAGATCCTTGGGCCATCTGCAATAGGAAACTCTGCTGAAGGAGCCCCTGAATACTCATGAGACAGATTACTTTGAGTCTTAAAAGCACAGCTCAGAGTCCTGAAAAAAGGCATCAACTGCACGATGCTAGATATAGAACGTTGGTGTAAAAGAGGGAATTCACACTTGATAGAAGTCGCCTTGTTGCTACCGTTTATCTCCTGTAAACAAACCCACAAAAGTAAGTTATTTGGCTTTGTCAGGACCTCCACACTAAAATTTTAGACCACATAAAAATTCTTAGGATATGATATTTCATGAAAATTTAGTAACAACAATAATTATGCTTCTAATTTAAGTTTGAGGTTATGAGAAGGGCTTTCCCTCTGGTCTACCGCAACCTATAGCAATAGATTCTGGAGAATCTCTCTTTTTTCCTGGCCTTCAGACATTATAGTGGCTTCTTAAAGATACCACATACTCTAGTAGAAAGAATCATAAAATGTCAGGTCCTCAGAGGTTTATTTTGGCTGAAAACTCAGCAAAAAATTCTTTTACAACATCACATGCAAATATAGTTATCTATCTTCTGCTTTAACATGTCTTTGACAGGGAACTCCAGTCATTTTATGTTCATCTAAGTCATTGATAAAAAAAAGTTTGAGCATGACAGGAGCAAGGACAAAGTCCTGCAGGTCCCTAGAGTCTCTTCTTCTACATTAATATCAATTTATAGCAACTTGACCAAATACAAATCCATCTAACTCCATTAAAAAGACTGTTTTGCTCATTTTGAAAAGTTAAAGGGTTGATCATGGGTCTGATCTCATTGGCACAGAAGCTTTGATGTGACATGTTTTCAACTTGGAAACCAGCTCACTCTACCTAAGGCAATCTGTTGGTCTTACTATATTAATGTTGAACTTAGTAAAAGACACCTAGTCAACTTAGCCCCACTGCACCTAGGAACTCCCAAATACACCAGTGCCACATCTTCACTGAATATATACTTTGTATGCTATTATTTATAGTAAACCTCATTTTGTGAATTGTCATATGGTCTATGAGCGATCCAGGCTTGGGATTAGAGCTCCTCTAAATGTGATCACTGGATTGGCTTGTCAGGTTTGGCCTAAAGAGTTTTACCATATCTACATTGTAATTTAGAAAAAGTTAACAGTATACATTTAAATTTTAAAGAACAATTTTTTTGTTTACTCCATATTTTAAGTTGAGAAGTTCCAAGATTCTAACAACATGTGGTTTGCATTCTTGATGATACTCCTCTAAATCTGAGAGAATAGCAGAAGTCTTTGTATCTACTTCTGGAACAAATGCCCATTTATACCTAGAAAAAGAAACAAACATTTGGATCAGATGTTGCAGTTCAGAGATCATTTCTATGGGAAAATCATTATGCATCTTTTTATTGGGGAGGGTAGAGAGGTGAAGAAGGAAGTTTAACTTTACCCTATGGTTTGTGAATTTAGTAGGAGAAACACAGTGATCTCTCATATGTTGCAAATTACCTGAAACTTGGGTTTATGTTATAGGAAACTTGTGTTAGTGCAAGTTTTGTTTGCCATTAGTAACAATGCTATAGATGCTCATATATTGAAACAACTACAGGCGATTTAAGTAACAGAAGTCATAGACTTCTCTAAAAAATACTACATGTACCTATCCCCTGGTAAGTACATATAACTTACATTTGAAATAAAGGCATCTTGTCTGGTGGAAAAGAAAGTGCTGTGTCCAGGAACTTGCAAGCTGATAAATACAAGATGAGTTCATTTGGGGATATCTCACTGCCATCAGCTCCTGAAGCTCTCATTCTGGTTACTTTGCTGTTGCTTCTGGACAATTTATAATCGAGGAAATACACATTAGAAATTCAGAAAGATCCTTTAAGTTGGATAGTTATTTGAAAGTTTCAATTTCCCTAGGAAGTTTTTTCCCCCTGTTCACAGTTTTCATAAAACCTCTGAATTGAAAGGGAATAGAGAGGTCATCTAATTTAACCACTATCTGAAACATCAATTTCCTTGACATTTCTCAAAAGTGGTCATCCAAGCCCCACTTAGACCCCTGGACTCTTAGAGAATTCACTATTAATACAGAACATTCCATTTCTGAATAGCTTTCGTTTTTCAGGAAGTTCTATATACAGTATGAAACTGAAACCTATGTCTGCAACTTCCACCAACTGCTTCAATGGAGCAAAGCAGAAAAGTTTTCATTTTTCTTCCATACAACTACCTTTTAAATATCAGAAGACAACAGTTGCGCACTATCCCCATTGCCCACTTTCTAGGGCAGACTACCGTGAGACTATTACTTCCCTTGTTTAGAACAACAGCTTTTTAACATGGCCTAAGACTGAGTTAATATTTTTGACTACCAAGTCAACACCTATGATGTGCCAGATACTTTGGTAAGCAATAGGAAAACCAAGGAAAGTAAAAAGCAGTCTCTACTTTCAAGGAGCTCACAGCCTAATGGGGGAAACAGCATACAAACAAGATACAGGATAAACTAGAGATAATTAACAGAGGAAAAGCACTAGATTAAGAAAGACCAGGATAAAATTCTTATAGAAGATGGGATTTTAGAGATGCGAAGGAAGCCATGAAACCTAAAAGACAGAGATGAGGAGAGAGAGTTCCAGGCATGGGGGACAGACAGTGAAAAAGTCAAGTGTCTTGTTCAAAGAACAGCAAGGAGGTCAGTGTCACTGGAGATCAGAGAATATTGGGCAGGGGAGGTAAGGTATTAAGAAGACTGCAAAAAGTAGGAAGAAATCAAGTTATGAAAGGCTTTAAAAGTAAAACAGAGGATTTGATCTTGAAGGCAACAGGAAGCCACTGGAGTTACTGAATGGGGGGATAGTGGTGGTGGTGGTGGTGATTGAATTTTAGGAAGATCACTTTGGCAGCTGGGTGGAGAATGGACTGGAATAGTTAGAGACTTGAATCAGGAAGACTAACCAGAAGGTTACTGCAATGGTCCAGGCATGATATAGTGAGGGCTTACACAAAGGTGGTGGTTGTATCAGAACAGAGAAAGGAATATATATGAGAGAGAGGCTGAGAAGGACAAGGATTATAAAAAGGCCATTCCTTGGGAATTGGATGGAGCACTTTCAGCTCATTAAGTTGGACCGCTGAGAGTTAAGAAGAGAGTGGAGGAACAGATTGTAGATGGTCTTCTCAAGGAACTTAGAATCCAAATGGAGGAGAGGTATAGGATGACTGCTAGTGGTGATGGGTATTTTATCATGGGAAACCATGCTTGTGTTTGTAGGCAGCAAGGAAGCAACAAGTAGACGGACTGAAGATAAGTGAGAATGGAGATGAAAAAGGGGATGATAAAAAGTAGCTGAAGGAAAGAGAATGGAATCATTTGTGGAGGTAGGTAGAGGGATTTGCTTTGGCAAGGAGAGCCATCTCTTCAGGTGTGAAGGAAGAGAAAGAAAATGTCTGGGTTATGTGAAATGAGAAGAAATGGAGAAGAGGGAGCTCCAGATTAATGATCTCGATTTTTTCAGTGAAATACAAGGCAATGTTCACAGTTGAGAGGGTGGTGAAGGGTGGTGAAAGAGGGAGCCATGGGAGGTAAGAGGAGGGATAAAAAAGGTTTGAAAAAGCCATAGTGGTGAGTAGGATAGTGAATTTATTAGGAAGATGTAAAAAAGATTCACTTGCTACAGTAAGGGCCCAGTTAATATTATGTAACATAAATTTGTAGCAGACCCAGTTAACACGGTTTCATGATTTTCTTCAGCTTCCTTCAGCAACACATTGTAGAAGTTGTTAACCATTTACCAATGGTTTCGTCCAAAGAAACAAACTGAATCCATTTCCCCCTTAATTGAAAGTTTGTCCAAAGAACAAACAGAATGGAGTTGCCCCTTACCAAAGGTCTGTTCAAGAACAAACAGAATGTGGCTCACCTTACCAAAGGTTTGAAGAAGGAACAAACAGAATCAGGCTGTACATGTGCTATAATATGCTTATTTATTCTCATTAAGCCAGAGAATCATGCATGATGGAGTCAGAAAATAATTCTAAACTCAGAGGTAAACAAGCTGAGGAGACCCTTCATACACTTAGAGCAATCTCAACTGAGGATGCCTATGTCAACCTAAAATTATAGTCTCCATATGTGTTTAGCCATAATGTGAGAAAGGAATTTCTTAATGGGATAGGTTGTAAATACAATAAGATAAGAGAATGTCAAGGTGTCAAATGAAATTAAAGATGCAGGATGTCTGTGTTTCTTTTATCATTAACATGACTATATATGTGTACATGTACATATGTGTATATATGTGTGTATATATATGTATGTATGTATACACACATATATATGTATATAGCATAACATAGCATAGCATGTGTCCATAAATACCAAGATAAGAAAAGTCCAATTATTCAAGATAGTGTCCAGTTCAAGGTGCCTTGTCCTTGGTAGTCATAAACAGAAGAATGCTCCTGGTCAGCTTCATCTGGCTTTGCAATTGCTGACACAGGAAGGGACATTTTGGGCTCATTCAAAGAGCAAAGCAAAGCATGTCTGTGATGCCAGAGTACACAAAGCATTATGATAGATTAAGCTCAGAGTAGGCTAAAAATTTCTCTCCTAATTGGCCAATCCAGGTTTTAGGCCTTTCTCAGGTGATGGGTGGCCCAAAGTGGTTCACAAAGTGAAAGCAGCATGATGGTGGGAATTCTCCAGATCTGAGTTTTGGATAGGATAAAAGGGCAAGGGGCTTAAGACAAGAAGACTGTGCAGAGCTGAACTGGTTCAACAAAAAGTCAAGATAAGAAAAGAAGTAAAGTGTAACTAGCAACCAGTGTGATGGCCTGGGAGAGAACTGATGGCTGGGGAGAACAGAAGTGAGAATGAAGAACAGGGTTTGGGGTTTTCAGGAAGAGAGAGAGGTAAAACAACAAAAGTATGATCAGATAAAGAAATTTCAGAGGTCACTAACAAGATAAAAGGTATGACCATCTCTGTATGTGGCCAAGATTGGATGGAAGAAGAGGTCATGGAAAGTGAGTAAGTTGAGGAAGAGAGAGCAGAGTTTGAGGAAATATTACCGTGCAGATTAAAGTATGAGGGCTAGAGTTGGGGAGGAGAGAAAGACTGAGTTAGGCACTGAACTTGTTGAGGAAAGGAGCATGTTCTGAAGGACAGTAGACAACAATCACCAGAATCTTGACTGGGTGATAAATATGGATTGAACATCAAAGAGACAGGTAGAGAGAGGACTTGCAAGTGGCAATGAGGAACACAGAATTCCAATAATTCCACTGTGACCAGTAAGTTAGGGGCATAAAGGTGCAGTCAGTTCTGGAAAGGAGGGCCAGGGAAGCTGCAGGACCAGGAGGGAGGCAGGTCTAAGGTGAAAGCTAGTTTGTTACATACTGAGCAAGCATTCCATTTGAACAATGGCAACTGACAGGTTCTGAATCACTGGAATGGGAAGGGGATGACAGTGGAAGTATGTTAATCATTGAGAAATAGGTTCAGGTGGACTATCATTGGGTTTTGTTTTTTTATTAATTTATTTTGATGTATCAACAATCGCTTCCATATACTTTTGAGTTTAAAAGTTTTCTCCCCCTTCCTCCCCACCACCCTCCTCAAGACGGTGCACAATCTGATATAGGCTATATATATATACATTCCTATTAAACATACTTTCACATTAGTGATGTTTTAAGTAAGAATTAGAACCAATAGGAAGAACCACCAGAAAGAGGAAACAAAACTCAACAGAAGGAAAAAAAACAGTAAATAGTATGCTTTGAACGGCATTCAAACTCCATAGTTCTTTCTTTGGATGTGGATAGTATTTTCCATCATGAGGCCTTTGGAGATTGGACTATCGTTGTTCATGGGGATTTAGCCTTCCTAGTGGAGTGGTTCCAGGGCCTGAGGCAATTGTGTATAGTTGAAAAGGGGCAAAAGGAGGAGGGGAAAGTTGCCTCAGTTGGGAGTAAGGCAATTGCTGTGAGTTGTAGCATGCCAGACAGGATGCCTGGATCACAATGGAATGGCTGCTTAGTGAGGCTAGGAAGCTTTTGTGGGTAGGTACAGGTAAGGCAGCTGCTGTGGATTTATAGGTGGCTGGGTTAACCCCCAAATCACCCCGGTTCTCACTGAATGGCCAATAATAGGTGCCAGGCTAAGCCCTACTTGGTTATTGTTTGGATCTTATTGGTGTAGAATGAATGTAAATAGCAATTGTTTCTGTTTTGGCCAGAAACCCTGGAGTGTCTTCCCCTCCCAGATGTGTTGTTTTTTTTTTTTTAAAGAGGCCACTCTGCCTCGTTTCTTATTAAGTTTTTTTTTTTAATTTTTAGGCAACTGGGTTTAAGTGACTTGCCCAGGGTCACACAGCTAGTAAGTATCAAGTGTTTGGTCTGAGGCTGGATTTGAACTCAGGTCCTCCTGACTTCAGGGCTGGTGCTCTATCCAATGCGCCACCTAGCTGCCCCCTTATTAAGTTTTAATCAGTGAACTGGGCATTGCCTCAGTCAAACTGAGACCTGTTAAAGACCTTATCTTGAAAAGGCCAAGGTCCCCAGCTGCATCCAGGGCCATCTCCAGTCATCTATATCTGGCCACTGGACCCAAATGGCTCCAGAGTCTCCTCTGTGAGGCTGGTGACTTTGCACAGTTCTCCTCTTATTTAATCTAATTCACTTGCATGCCATGGCATCACCTCCCTGCTGTCATGGTCTTCTTCAGGAATGAAGGACAAACAGCAAAGCAGCAGCAACCTGAGACTGGAGAGAGGGCCTGGAGGGTGTTACATTGATACTGAGCTTACTTCAATACTTAAATGGGCAGGTAGGTAGTACAGTGGACAGAGTGCCTGGAGTCAGGAAGACTCATCTTCCCGAGTTTAGATATGACCTCAGACACTAGCCGTGTGACTAGCCCTGTTTGTCTCAGTTTCCTCATTTGTAAAATGAGCTGAAGAAGGAAATGGCAAACCGTTTCTTTGCCAGGATAACTCCAAATGGGGTCACAAAGACATGACTGAAAAAAGTGACTGAATAACAACTAGCTTGATTCAGCACCAGCCCTTCCTCCAGTCCAGGCTCCTTATTACTTTCCTCCAATGCCCAAGCCTGCTAACCCTCGACAAGAACTCCATGAAAACACATCAGATTTTACTGATTTGCAGGCGAGGGTACCCCATTCCCTCCACAGGCCCAAATGCTATCCAGGTCTCCAGTAGACTGTTCTGTTTCCATTCTCCCTGAAAGCCCTGATGGGTTGCTTGTGCTTGGACCCCAGCCCTAAGACCATATCTCTTCCCAGCCCAAAGATACTATCTCTGGTATGAGTGGGCTCCAGGGAGGCAAACTATCTCTCCCTGTTACAAGAAGAAGCTGGCCTCTGTGGAATTTCCCTTGTATGAATAGGACTCTCTTGTGCCAGCAGAACTATCAGGTACTGATTCCCACAGTTACCATATACAACCCAGAGGTCAAGATGTCAACTCCCAAGGCTATTTTGTTACAGTTGTGGATGTACAGACATAGGGACCCTTTAGAACTTTCCCCCCAAGGCTGTGGCAGTGGTGAATGATGCCTGTGCCCAAGGTACAGAAACTGTATGTCTACCACCTAATTAGCATACTCGTCACAGAATTCACTGTACTTGTCCTATCTAAGCTTTAGCATCAGTCCTATTAGGTGGTGAGTACCCTAAAAGAGCTCTGTCCTCTGTATAACATTACAATAAATCTTTTGCCACTTGACTGGAAGACTGATTGAGTCCTTGAATTCTTTCTAGACAACTCCATCCTGAACCTCAGTATTTTGTCACTATGTCCCCCCTCAACAAATCTGGTTTGCTTTACTCTCTTGTGGGCTCCATGCTTCTCTGTACTGGAGTTTTGATATTCTAAATCTTTCTGACTATGCATTGAGATAACAGATGAGATATACCTTTTTGCTAGACACATCTTTATTATTTGCTGATTTTAACTAAACTTATACTCCATGAAGATCCCTAGGTCTAGGGGCAGCTAGGTGGCGCAGTGAATAGAGCACTGGCCCTGGATTCAGGAGGACCTGAGTTCCAATTCAGCCTCAGACATATAACACTTACTAGCTGTGTGACCCTGGGCAAGTCACTTAACCCCACTGCCTAACCAAAAAAAAAATCCCTAGGTCTTTTTCACATTTTCTAACTGCCTAATCATGTCTATTGTACATCTGCAATTGATATTTTTAACCCGAGAGTAAGATATTACATTTATCCCTAGCGAATTTTCTCTAAGAATGGCTTAGAAGAAATTCTGCCACTTGCATTTGGCCATGTTCCCAATAAAAATTTTCTACCATTAAAAGCAATTTAACTTATATCTAGTTTAGAAATAAATTAATGTTCCATAGAACATGAATGCATTTTAAGAAATGCATTTATAAAATTTCATGTTTTAGATCTGGCCCATTGTTTTAGCTTAAGAAGCTTCTGAATACTAATTCTCTAACATATTAGCAACCCCTCCTCTTGTTTCAGGAGTTCTACAAATCTGATAAGTAAACCATCTATATCTTTATTTCAGTCACTGATTTTAAAAAGTATTAAACAGAAAAAATAAAAAGCAGAACCCTGCAACACTCCATCAGACTGTCATCATTCTATCAATCCTAACTCTTTGGGTCCAAATTATTAAGTTCAACCTATCCACTTGAGTGGCCCATCATCCAGAGGATAGCTCTTATGTCATTCACTAGTACTCACAATAAATTCTACAAGAGGTCTTGCTGAAGTCCAGGAATATAAATGCATGGTATTTTCTGGATCTATCAGTGTAATAACATTGCTAGTAACTAGATACTTGAAAAATGTCTTAGACTGTTACAGTTAACATTGGACTATACTATTCTTTAAAATTATGTTCATTAGGGGCAGCTAGGTGGCAAAGTGGATAGAGCACAGTCCCTGGAGTCAGGAGGGCCTGAGTTCAAATCCAGCCTCAGACACATGATACTAGCAAGTATGGGCACTTGGGCAAGTCACTTAACCCTGACTGCCTCAAAAAAATTTATGTTCATTAATATAATTGAAACATTATTCTCTCATGCCCAAATTTCAGCCAAACTGGGCTACTTGCTGTTATCTATACAAAACATTCCCTCTTCTACTTCCATGCCTTTACCCAGACTCTCCCCTATCCCTGGAATGCTCCCCGTCCTTTATCTTCGCCGCATAGATTTTCTAGCTCAGATGCCACCTTCCCAGAGGAGGCTATTCATAAACTTCCCAGCTCTTGGTCCTCTTCCATTCCCTCCTATAACTATTTTGCACATATCTTATATGCGCTTACTCTAAGTATACAGGGTTTTTTTTTTCCTCCCAGCACAATGTAAGCTCCTTGAGGCCAGGGAATATTTTATTTTTATCTTTGTTTCCAGTGTTCAGCCCAGTGCCTGGCAGTTGTAGACATTTAATAAATGCTTTCAAAATGGAATCAAATATTATAGTACCATTTTTTTTTTCATCTGACAGACTCTATGCCAGCGGCAAGTGGCTTATGCCTTCCTGGTATATTGAGCAAATCTTTAATATATCTACAAAGTTGCATGCTTGTAGATATATTAAAATAACTTGGTTCTATGGCATTTTTTAATCCTTGTATTATTCAGAGGCCTAGAAAGAAGAAATAAGACCAGACTATTCCTCAAACATGTGTAAGTACACAGATAACAAAGACATTTGTAAATGCTTACTTTGATGATTCATTCCTCTGTATTAGATCATCTTCAAATTGTATAAATGTCTGAATCTTAAAAAAGGAAATACACCTTTTAATGAATTAAAAAAAGCATTTAAGAGCACCATGTAGTTGTCACAGTTTAAAAAAAATTACATATATATGGCAGCTAGTATTTTGTGATTAAACATAATAAATTATTAATTTGTTTAAATACCTTACTTTTTGGCTCTTCAGTAATCCTAATCAATTAATGATCAATATATGTCCTTTCTCTAATTTAATAACCATGAAAAGAAAGCCTTATGAATTTGTGATTAAAAAAAATACTGTGTTAAAATGAAACAAAGTCAGTTTTTGAAAAAGTCACAATAGTCACCTTCTAGAGAAAGAAAACAAGAGAAGAAGGAAGGCCAGAGACTAAATGTGTGGTGCCAGCTAGGCTGTTACTACTTCTGTCTCATTCCTCTCAGATAAATAGCTCTTGAAATCCTTGGACCTCTTTTTTCGCTTAAAGTCTCTTGCCTATGTTGATAAAACATCCTTCACACTTATGCTCATGGGGCTTCCCAATATATTCTGCCTGAGATTAGTTCCTCTCTCTTTGACTGGAGCTTGTATTTTTAAGACAAATGTTTTTGCTCACCAATTCAGTGACCATTATTGGCCACAACGAAGTCAGATGTTGAGGAGATATTCTTAGCAGCAAAACTCTGAAAAAGAGGAACATCTGAGCAGCAACTATGGGTGTCTGTCCAACTCTGAGATTCTCTGTCAGTCGTTCTGGGAAAAGATTATTAATATATCAGAAAAATAGGAATTAAAAATAAATATTTTTGTTGCTGAAGCCCAAGGGCTTGCAGTTAATCTGGCTAAGGATAAGTTGAAGCTAATAAATTAAGGGTGTACTAAATTTTGAGGTTAAAAATAACTGCTGAACCTGGGGAAGCTAAGAACAAGGTGCTGAATTTTAGATGGTCTTGCATCATGGGGTATGGGGAAGGGAGCCTTTTCCAAATGAGGAACTGATAACCCAGTTATCTAGATGAAGAAACCCAAAGAGGCTATTTTGGAGCACACAAAAATAAGGAACATGGAACTGTGAAAGAAGAAGCAAGACCCTATGAAATCATCAGAAAACCCAGTGAGCAAACAGGAAGAATTAGCCAATTTGAACTGAGCCTGTGCAGGGGCGATGAACAACTAAGGATTGTACAAGCCAAGTTAAAAGTGATGCCTGTGTCACAAGATGGGGAAAGAAGAGAAAAGGGCTACATGTTACATACACTTTGGTGAGGAGGATTGTGAAGGAACAAGATTCTGGCTATCCTAGCACAGTAAGTCTGTTCCATCACAGCTTGCAAAAAGAAGCAATGTACACTTAATAAAATTTCTAGTTAGAATCCAGGTTCCTCTACACAGAGGAGTTAGAGTGACTGTGTGACATCTGGGTTCCAAATAGGGAACAGAGGCTAAAGATGTAACTGTTTTCTTCTTTATTTAATTTACATGTTGGAAAAATGAAAATTCTAGTTTTTATGTAAAATAAAAAACAATCCTAACAAGCTAACATCTTAAAATTTTCTTAGTTTCATACAAAGTTAGATTTTATACTGGTGTTTTGGATAGAAAGGAAAATCCTTTGCTCTCCCCTTCTCAGCCAATTATTCATTTCCCACTCTTCCAAGGTGGTATGGTCTGAGAAGAGGTGTGATCACTGCTTTCCTGGCCTATGCTGTGGTCTGTGGGTGACCACAAGCATTCTTTCCTCTCCTAGAACTGTGACCAGGGTCCCTGCTTCCCTGCGGTCATATGCTCCAATGTGCTAGTGGTTTCTCCTTGCCCTGGGACTGTGACGAAAAACTGAACACAGGCAGGGCAGCTGAGTGCTGCACCCAGTGCCAGAGAAGGGTCCCCTGTATTCTCATTCTGACCAGATGTCTGACCCCCTTACCATTTATGGGCTCAAGAGCTCCGGAAGCTGCCGCCGCCAATTCAGTGGCTTGCTGGGGCACAGCCTCTGCTGGATTGTACTGCATTCTCATCCTAGTGAGAAAGACCTTTCCTGCTGACCTTCTAAGTTATCTTGGGCTGGAAAATCGTTTTACCTCCTCCTTTTGTTGGTTCTGCCACTTCAGAATTAGTTTTGAGGCATTATTTTAAAGTTTGGAAGGGAATTTAGGAGAGCGTGGGTGAGTCCCTGCCTTTATTCCATCATCTTAGCTCTGCTTTCCCACTTCCCTCCCCCATCCATTTTTAAATACCAGACTCCTCCATTTATACATTTCTTTCTCTAGCCACTCTCACAAACTTGACAAAATCAGCTAATAATCTTTTTAATTAGGAGAGAGATCTCATACCCTTCTCAGTTCAGGGCTACAGCATGCATCTCTGTTGGATCACAGCCTGCTTCTACTAAAATAACCTGTTTCTATTAAAACCAGAGCCCAAGCTTTCTAGCTCTCCTGAGCCACAAGGAAGCCATCATTTTTTTATTTTAGAAATTCTTTATTTATACCAGTATGTGATATGAAGAAATTTCTATAAGTAGAAGCTGCAGATTTAAGCAAACTTTAGCTTCATTAACCAAGTTCCTTATGGTATCTGCTGTTTTCACTGCATTGATGATAATACTTTCCTCTCAGACACATAGATACCTTGTACTCTTGGACCTGCTTAAATGCTTTGCTGTTTTGTAAAATTCTCCATAATTCTGCTCAGGTGCCTTTCTACATAGTTTCTGCTCCTCCTGGGGTTGGTAACTCTCTCCTTGGCACTAAGCTTTTGCTTATTTAGATGTCAACAACTCTATCCATTTTAGACCTCAGAGGTCATCTAGAACAAAATTTTAGATCTTATGTGTTTGGCTGTATGTGCTGGGGAAAGGATATGTTGCATTCTTTGGTTTTATGGATAAATCCTGATGAATTCCAGAAGTGCTTGGGGGACTGAACGGTACACATTGTACATGTGCTCCTAGTTTCATTTCTCTCTTCTAGTAGCTGGTTAAGTGGAGCTAGGGTCGTAAGTGAGGAAACATTTACAAGAAATGAAGAATCAGTCATTGGTGGTTATAAAGTGTCCACGTATTAGCGGCTGGGATATGCTGACTGCCCAATGGATGCTAACTATGGATCCAACAACAAGTGATATAACTAACTGGAAGCAGATAGCAAGATATGAAAAATAGCCTATTTTATATATGGTCGCATAGAAGCCTGGAAGATAGAACAGATAAGATAGTACCTAGAAGTTAGAGTCACGCTGATCTACTGATTTGGGGAAGTTAGAATACTAAAGAAATCCTAAGACTTAGGCAAAGAGATGAACTAGGAATGAAAAATCTTGAGAAATAACTAGTTTTGTAATGTAATACAATTGTGTAATACCAGTTTCACATGGTTTCAGGATAGATGATGGTGGATGTTTTTTGTGTTATATTCTATCAAATATCAATGCAGTCTGCATGACTGCCACTGCAAATTTTGTTATAAAGATGCATAGTGCTTATGCTGATATTCTAGATTCAGATTATGAGTGGTATGCAGACTTTATAAAATAAAGATCAGTGAAGTATCATTATCCATGTATTACTTGTCAGTCAATAAACATTTATTAAGTGCCTACTATGTGCCCGATGGGGCCATCGCCAATTATCTTTCCATCATCGTCAGTCTTTCCACTGGCCTCCGATGATTCTGGAGGAGAGAGAGAAGCTGCTGACTTTGCTCAGCTCTGCCTAACTCAAATCCAACCCACAAGCAGGTTAAGACATCATGCTCGAGATGTCATTGATCTTCTTTGAGAACAAAGGACAAACAACGACAGGTACCCGGCACCCAGGAAATCCTGGGCAGCACCAAGCAGCTCTTTGTGGCTTAGTTCTCAGAGCCCACATGAGTATTCTAGAATCAGTGTCAAGCCAGGAAAGGGCACGCACAGAGAAGTGAGTTAAGTAAGTACAAAGTCCAAAGTAGAAATCTGATGAAAAAGCAGTCATGTTTGCATGACTTCTCATGTATAATAGGTATCACACAGCTTGCCTTCTCAGTGGGTGGGGGAGGCCTGAAAGGAAGGATGGAATTTGGAGGTAAAATGAAAAGGAAAAAAAACAACCCAAACACTATAAATAATTTGTTGTTGTTTTTGTTGAGGAATGTTAAGGGGTCCCCTGATCTTGTTTTTTTGAGTTGCTGCATATTTCATAAACAGTGGACCCTGAGTGTGCAGGAGGCCCTGAACATGTCAAGAATGAACTCAAAGTCCCCCCACCTCCCTGGCCCTCCAGATGACATAATTTGTCATTTGCACCCCAAATTGGACTCCCTGTGTGTCCTTTGGAATCAAGGTAGGTGCCAGTCAATCTGCACTAGGCTGAGAAATTGCTTGTATAGCTGGGACCTTGTAGATAAGCAGACCATCCTATCTTCACAGCTAGTGTGTTCCCAAGGGAAAAGAATGCAGCTAGCTTTTGTCATCTTCATTTTTCATGATTTCTCCTCCCCTGCCACTCCCATTTAGGTAGAGGTTTCTATTTCTCCTCCTTCCTTTGTCATAATTTTATAAATATGCAAGCTTCTGTTTGGATTGTGAACTCTTTGCTCTTATTTAGAATTTCATATGCAAGTTCATTTCTCTTGTAATAAACCTAGTTTTGACATAAGTTTTGTAAAGTTGGGATGGCTTGTTGACATTTTAAAAAGAAAGAGGTAGTTGAGGATAATACACCTACACACTCCTCTGTTGTCACCACATAGCTCTCAAAGTTCAACACTGTGGGTGCTCAAAACCCACCTGAAACAAAACCTTTCCAATCTTTCTCACTCCTTCATGTTTAAATAGTTTTTGCTTCTGGGATAATGGAGAGGAAAGTCATCTGAGAAGCAGCTAGGAGAAGTAAGTCGTCTGGAACACTTTCAGATATCTAGGTTGCTGAGGTATAGCTGGAGGAAGGGAGGGACTAAGCCACTGCTCCCAGGGGCAAGGGAGGAGCTCATCTATTTTTTGGCCATAGGGGAAGCAAAACATAGAGGTTTTGAAAAGCCCTGGTGACTCTGATTTTTAGCTTATCTAAGTCTAAGGATGAACAAAACTCAAATTGCTTAGTCTCTGTAGTTCTTTCACAATGTCTGGTCTCTGTAGTCCTCTTTATTATTTGTATAAGGATACCTTTTTGCTTCTTAAGAGATTTTCTTTCTGCAAGTGATAATCTTTCTCCCTCTGAGGAATGTAAATGGAATTGGTATATAGATTTTATACGTGCGTACTCACATTTATACATAGCCATATTAATAAGTAATGCTTTTTTTTTTGCTTGTTAGGATTTTTGTGTGGTAATTTATTTTTCCCTCCATGGGATCTGGGTTAACGTTCCCAAGGAAAAAAAAACCAGAAACATCTCTATATGTCCTGTTGTTCTTTAATAGAGAAAAAAATCCAAGGCCACTTTTCTGGCTTTTGCCAGATAATTTATGAGGTAGATCCCCCTGGGAAAACCAATATTAGAAAGACCAGAATTTAAGAAAGACCTTGAACAACCAAGTTGAGTCAAATGACACAGCACTTTTTTAATCTATAAGGCAAAGAAAACAGATGACGGGATGAAATTTTTATTTCTAAGTAAAATTATAATGTTTTTGCATCAATTGATTGATGTGCCTTATCTTTCTAGTGTTAATGCCCATATCACTCGGCATACATCCTTTTAAGTGCTTTTACCCTCTAAAACTAACTGAAGTCTTTATCTCTTTTCCTAGTATGTAAATAAATAATTCATAAATAGTATGACCCTTCATAAATGGGGCCCAAATGGCTCCATACCATCTAGCATCATAGATAAGACCCTCCATATCCCCTCTATTAGCTGACCTTGAGTAAATCAGAGACTATTCTACTTTCATACTCTCATACATTCCACAATATATTTTATCCAAAGATCCTAAATCATAGTTCCATAAGTAGAGGTAGCATATTATGACACCAATCACCATCCTGGAACCTCTAAAAAAAAAAAAGGAGGTGGCATATCTATCATGCATCAGAAAGAAAGAACCTTTCTTATGCAAAAAATAAACAGGTGTGAAGCTATGGTTGGAATTGCCACATTACTTCATTTTGGAACTAACATACTACCACATTAATTTGGAAGTGGATTTGGATTAGGTCAGTATCCCACTCTTATGTCCAGCCCTCCTGAGGTCTTGTTTGGTCACATGTAATATCCTTTGCTAAATTTCCTTTGAAAATGTAAGTCTTGTGTGTGAACCTTTCTCCTCCTCTTCCCTAGTACAGAACTAGGGTGCCACATAATCATTCATAGGGAGAAACATTTGCTGTCAAATGAAGGAAATGAAATGGGTAGGAGAAACTCTTCAAATTTCCTCTTCCTTGAATTAAAGAAACTACAATCTTAATTGCTGTGTTGAGTATCTAATTTAAGGCCAAAATGAAGATTCAATCCTTCTGGTCATCTCTGCTGTCCCCATCTGTCATCAGGAGCTAGTCCTCAGATAGTGATTGTGCTAGACGATGCTAAGTTCCATACCAGTAATACTGGTCTGGACTTAGACCAGCCTAGTAGTCATCAGTCTCAGGTTTGAATCTCATTCTACACATGGATGGCCCATAGGACCTAACATCATAGACAGGCTCCTTCTTGTTAGCTAACCTTGAATAAATCAGGGAACATACCAGTCCCATATTCTCATTCCTTTCAAGAAATTACTGTGACCCAAAACCTCAAAGTGTAACAGATAACATCTTGATTTTTATCAATCATTAATCTGGAGACACAGCAAAGGCAAGAGAATCTCTGATGGTACTTTTCCTATACAAAAAAGCAAAAGCTGTTAAACCATTGTTGAAGCTGCCATACCACCCCTATCTGGGGAACAAATTTGGATGTAGATTTATTTGGAAGTCCATAGGACTCCTCTTCTAACTACACCTGGAGGTGAAGAATATCCTTTAATACATTTCCTTCAGACTTAAGTCTTGGGCTTAGATTTCCTTTTTTTCCTCCCTGGTACCTTCTCCTATGGGAAGTTATATGACAATACACATAACCCCTTATTTGGAGATGCATTTGTACCAAATGAATGAATTTTAATGAGTGGGGGAAACTTCAAGTCTCCTCATTTTGAAATCTTTCTAACCCTGGGAGCCCTTATTTCATGCAATGAGTGGCCCCAAATTAAAGTCTCTCTCTATGGAAAAACCAGTATTCTTACCTTGTATCAATGGAAGGTAGAGATGATACTGATCAACATCTCCGCTGAAGACAGCAAATGCTTGACGCTTTAGGAGCATGGCTTTCTGCTCAAAACTTGAAAACAATTTTAAAGAACTGCTTTGCATATCTAAAATGAAAATGACAAGTAACCAGTACTTAGTGAAGAAATTTCTGTGGGATCTGGGTTAATGTTACATGTCATTGTAATAGTAGAATTACTAATACCATCAGTGCAAAATCATAATCCAACTAAATAAATGCACATGCCTACCATATCTTTATTTATTAAAAGTGAGTGGGTAGTTGGGGAGAATATAAGGATAGTATCAAATTCTAAGGTTTTATTTTTCTGAGGAAATCTTTATATGAAGTTTCTTTTCAAGCTGAATATTAGGAACTTTCTAAATACTGCTAAGTTGAGACATTTCAAGTCTGAGAAATGAAGAAAATGTCAAAGTAGTCTAGGCTAGAATCTCTAAAAAAAATTGTGCTTTTAAATTTAGGCTTGGTTATAAAAATTTAAGTCAAGATTCCAAAATTGGAGGCAAGATCCTGTGTCTAAAACATTAAAAAATAAAATAATAAAATTATGTTTGAATAACATAATACTTACTCATTAAATCTTTAAACATTGTTTTTTCATGTGTCAGAAGATGGTCGATGATGGACCTCCAACTAAAGATGGTAAAATAATAAGATTAAATGTAAAACTGAGAATCTAGTTAGAAGCATAAAAAAATATTAATTTAAAACTTTTCCAAGTAAGGTTAATGAAGATACAAACAAAGAAAAATACTTGTGAATTTAAAAAAAAAATCACAAAGCAAAGGTTTAAGACTATCAAAGGGAGAGAAAAGTCATTCGTTAAATTAAACCAAAGAAAAGAATATATGATTGGCAAATTTTTAGATTTTAATTTATTTATTTGATCATTTTTGTTTATTTATTTATTTATTATTTATTTAATTTATTTGTGTTTGTTTGTTTGTTTGTTTATTGGCTAGGCAATTGGGTTAAGTGACTTGCCCAGGGTCACACAGCTTGTAAGTGTTATGTGTCTGAGGCCAGATTTGAACTCAGGTCCTCCTGACTCCAGGGCTGGAGCTCTATCCACTGCAACACCTACCTGCCCCTACTTAGATTTTTATTATTAACTCTGTCTTTTTCTAGAGCTTCCACCAAATAAACCAGCCTCTTTATGATGCTTTTTGCTTACCTATTATGAAACATTGGATTAGTGGTGGAGTTCCACTTGCCAGTGGTCTCTAAGGTTTCTTCCAGGGGTAACTACAAGACTACTGTATAGAGGACTATTTTAAAAGAGTCACTGAGACCCCAGAGGGAGGTCACAGAAGAGTTTAAAAGGCTCTCAGAGACCCAGAATATCATAGTTCTTCCTACACATGGCATCAAAAGCTAGAAGGAAACTTGAAGACTTCTTTGCCAGATAATTTCAGTTTATGCTGAATTTATTTGATAGGCATACTTTTTCCTCTTATGATTAAAGTCAATTCAACAATGTAGTACTCCAGCTGCAAACTTCAGGCTGCCCTGTAATTTCCTCTCTTTAAGGTCACCTGCTATCCTGAGACTGACAAACTTTCAGCTTTTTTAGTTACTAATGAAGTATCACTTCTCTAGATGTGAGATGCCTGGAAGGATCAGGGGCAGGGGTCAGAAAGGAGTAGATAGGGTTGGGGAAAGAGGTGAGATCATTAACATAAATTAAAACCTACCTACTACATAAATAACAACCAAATACTGTGTGGATGAGAGACAAAATATGCTCTAAATATTATAATTACTAGTGAGCTGAATATCATGGTGACCAAAATTAAAACATTCTCTAGGAATAAAATGTCCTCCCCAATGGGATGAAATAACCCTTTCATATACTAGAATAACTCTCATGCTATGAAAAACCAAATTCATTTTGTTAATTACAAGTAGCATGTTACAATTTATTTACTATTAGTAGATATCACAGATATAGGAGAGATTATCACATCACAGATGAGATTATTTTGATTTTTAAATTAGGGTGTATTATATTTAGAAAAACATTTCTTACTGAACACAAGAAGTATCCATCTGAAAAAAACCAGGGTCCAAATATAACTCCAGGACTTCTTTTTTCCAGGCTCGTTTTGTATAGGCATAACTACTCAGGGAGCTGAGTAGTTGGGCACCAGCTCGGAAGCTAGGGATGTTGTAGGTACTATATGGGAGCGGGTGGGGAAAGGAAGAAAGGGAAAGATTGAGTTCAAAGACTGTCTGGAGAACATCAATTGACATATTTATCCACCCCTCCCCACACCTATATTTTCATCTAAATTTGGAAGGGATGGGAGGGGGCAATGATGGTGGAAGGAAGAAGAGAGAGAATTATATTACCTGTGATTTCGTAAATAAGGAAAAACATAATACAGCAAACGTGAAATTAATGGCACAGCTTTCTCCTTCTCATCACTGCGATAAATCACGTCCAAGAGACATGCTACAATCTTAAGGGAAAAAAAAACAGCAAATGGAACACAGCTCCTACCACACATCCCAGAAATGTCACCCAAGACATTCTAATCATAAAATTTCCAAGTATGATTTTTTGTCAAGACTTTCAGTGTGGTACAGTGAAAAAAGCAAAAGTACCCTGATAAATCGTTGCACTTGTATAGACCTCTAATTCCTCATCTGCAAAATGAATGGGCTAGATTTGTTGTTGTTTGTCCTTTGTTTTCACAGAGGACCACGGCATCATGGAGGTGATGACATGCAAGTAACTGGATTTAAGTGAGGGAGGGCTGTGCTAAGTCACCAGCCTCACTTTCTCCTCCTGAGCCTTCTGGGTTGAGTGGCAAGATATTATAGATCAAAATGACTGGAGATGGCTCTGGATATAGTGGGAGACCTTGGCTTTTTTAAGCTGAAGTCTTTAACAGGTCTCAGTTTTACTGAGGCAGTGCCCAATCAGTGATTAAGGCCAGATAAGAAATAACCAATGAATGGTCCCTTTTACCTAATTTAAAAAAAAATCAATCTGGATGGGGAAGATCCTCAAGGTTTCTGGCCATAACAGAAACAATTACTATTTATATTCACTCTGAGCCATCAGAGCTGGGACCTGTTGTTGGCCAATCAATGAGAGCCAGAGTGAATTGGTTTAAGGCAGGGATGCTACTTAAAGTCCCTTTTCAATTCTAACATTCTGTGATCATCTAGTTTACTGCCACATGCTTTTGAAGCTGCAAAGAAAATACTGGTTTTACTTAACTGATTCAGTGATTTAAGACAGTATTCCGTGGAACCTTGATCAGAATAAAGGAATTATGAGAAAATTTCATTGACAGTAATGACTGGCAAAGGGTGGGTCACTCAAGAAACAAAACAACCATGGCCTTGGCCGTGAACTATTATCCCTGTGGTATAGCGGGGGCCAACCCTAGTGTTAGGTATTTTTTTACCATCATAGATTTAGAGCTGGCAGGTTTTCCTTTGAATCATACAAATCTATGAACTAAAAGACATAGAAGCATTCTGGTCCAACCTTTTCATTTTACAGATAAGGAAACTGAGGCACAGGGAGGTTAAAAAACTTTTCCAGTGTCACACAGAGTAATGATTGTTTGAGGTGAGGTTTGAACTCGTCTTCTGATTCCAGAAAACAAGTGCTCATTCCATTCTATCACTCTGCTTCTACTGCCACAAGTTTGAGAGAGTTATATCCTTTGTACACTGAAGCCCTATTCTGGTGTCCCTCACATAATTTTTTTTCTTAAAGACCATGCGTTAAACCCAATTCACTCTGGCTCTCATTGGTTGGCCAACAACAGGTCCCAGCCTTGATGGCTCAGAGTGAATGTAAATATGAATTGTTTCTATTTTGGCCACAAATCCTGAGGGGCTTCCCCTGCCAGATTGATTTTTTTAAAAAAAATTACATAAAAGGCCATTCTTTTGCTCATTTCTTCCTAGCCTTAATCACTGAATGGGTGTTGCTTCAGTCAAAGTGAGAACTCAGAAAGACCTTAGCTTAAAAAGGTTAACATCTCCCAGTGCATCCAGACCATTTCCAGTTATCCTGATCTATATCTTGCCACTGGACCCAGATGGCTCTGGAGGAGAAAGTGAGGCTGATGACATTACACAGCCTTCCCTCACTTAAACCCAATTCACTTGCAAGTCATGGCATCACCTTCCTGATGTCATGGTTCTTTTCAAGAACAAAGACAAACAACAACAGCCTCAAATTACAGATCCACTTATTCTCTAATATTTTTCTTCATTAGGCTCCCTGTCCCCTCTATTCTATTCCAAAAAATTTCTCCCTTTATCCTGGGAGTATTCTGTAAACCCAGACAATCATTTCATAGGTTCCGCCAATTGTTCCAAAATATTCTATAACCAAATTAGCTTGGTAACCTCTGACTTAAGACAATCAGCACCACCCTTCTCTAAAACAAATATCCATACTGAGAAATCAAATGTCTTTACCTCTGCAAGGAGTGAGAGAGCATGCACACTGTAAACTGAGGGGGCAGATGCAGATACCATTGATGAGGGTGTTGCTGCTGCATCTATATGTAAAAAAAAAATTTGTACTTTCATTTACAATGGATATCATAACTTTGTTGTCCAAAAAAATCACATAAGCTTGAGTTAAGTTAAAATCTTTTCACCTTCCCAAAATGACTTTATGTACACATAAGAGTTTATTGTTCATCTCTCTGATAATACATACATATACAAATAACTAAGAAACTGAATGCTTTCTGACAGTTAGAATAAGACAATCAAGGTTTAGTAAGCTTACTTTTTCATGTTTACTTAAAAGAACAATGCATTACCAGCATAGATTGGACAAGATGACCCTCTGAGGTAATTTTCAACGCTAAGATTATGTTTAAAAACTGGAGAGACATACCATTTTGAAGTCTCATTATATATCTGGAGGCTTTCTGTGATTTCTTTCAATTGGCCTTTGTTTTCTGCATTCAGCAAACAAAATTAGTGATTTTCTTATACTATGTCTCATTATGGTCTTCAAATTTTTTGGCTAGTGTTCTTCTAGGAGAATCTTTAAGTTGTATCTTGTCTATATGATCACCGTGTTTTGTTTGATATCATGTTTTCCTTTAATGTTACTGCTTTTTGCTTCTCTTTTTCTAAATTGTCCTTAACTTCTGTATATTTGTATTCTCAGTCTGACCTTTGTTTCTTTTGTGAGACTTGCCACCATAGAGTCAAGTGTTTCTATTGTGCCAATTCTTTCTGCTAATTAGGTCATAAATACTGGTTTCAAATTTTATTTCTCTTTTAAATCATTCAGCAACATCTTGTTATGGTTCAATTCTCTCTTAGGAATCCATAGGTTCCAGAAGTCAGCAAATGTTGATTCATTTTCTTTTGTCTTGCAATATTTATTATTTAGATGCCTTGACTCTTGTAGTGGATCTGCAGGCCATATTCTCTTCTGTTATCTTAACATATCTTAACCCCATTGTTTATCTTTTATACGAGTCTTTAAGTTTTCTTTCTCTTGAGATCTTTTATGATTCCAATCTTTTCTCTCCTTATATTCCTCTATTGCTCACTTTCTGACTCCTTTCCCTTTGATTGCAGTTTCCCTAAAAGCCATCTTAATCTCTTCTCATGCTAAGCAATTCACATTTCCCCAGCCTTAGCTTCTGAACCTAAACAACTTCTAGGGAAACAGAATTGGTCCTAAATGAATGCTGGGATCTTTGCTTCAGTCTGTCTGTCTGTGACACACACACACACACACACACACACACACACACACATGTCCTATCCCAGTTCCCTCTGTTCCACAGTTCTCTAGATGAGTACTATGGTAGCACAGACTGCTGCCACACTGCTGCCCTAGCCACACCGGGAGGAGGGAGTAGTAGAGTTGTTCTCTGTTACAAGCCCATAGGTCAGCTTGTGCAGCCTTGCCTACGTGATAGAGGAGAGGAAAGGGGTGCTGAGTGAGCAAGTTAGGGGTTATGGATTAGCCTTGTCTGCTGTTGCTTCATTCACTTGATACCTCTTTGGGGTTCTTGGTGTCCTAAACCATAGAGACAGATAATATTGCTTATCTCATGTATAGTTCCTATTTTGGAGACATTTCAGAGGTTGTGAAAATCATAAAAAATGTCTTGCCCTTCATTTTGTTAATCACATAGTCTCACTGAATATCTATCTTGTTTTGTGTCCAATATTTAATATGTTAAAGATGTTACAGTGAGACTGTATATAGATACTGCCCTATGCATCAGTATAGGGAGTATACAAACTAATGAAACCGGCTCCAGTTCAGTTTTAAAATGTCATATTTACTCTGCAAGACATAGGATCACAGGATCATAGATTAAAGGCTGAAAGAGACCTTTGAGCTTATCAAATATAACCCCCTCATTTTATAGATCAAGAATCTGAGGCCCAAGGCTAAGTGCTATGTCCAAGGTCACATAGGTGGTAAAGAAATTTGAACCCAGGTCTTTAGATTTCAGACTACTGTTTTTTCCATTGTGTCATGATACCTTAAACTATAAGCTTGATTATAAAAGCAATGTAGAGACCAACCAAGATGGAGGAGTAGAAAGTAGCTGTACAGCTCAACTCCTCCAACAGTTTCAGATGAGTGCCAGACCAAGAAGTGATCAGAAATCAAAAGAGAAACCACAGTGGGTCAACTTTCCACACAAACCATAGGCAAGTGACCAGGTCTGGGAGGGCTGGGATCTCAGAGCCAGTTTCCTGGGAGTTGGGAGGGGCATTACCATGTTGCTCTAAACCAGGAATGAAGATCATGTATCGAGACTTCAGGAGCGGAAAAGGGCTATAGTGATATCTCCCTAAACCCAGAAAGGGGAACTAGAAGCCACACCCTGGAAATGAATGAGGACCTGTGGTTCTAAGACTCTAAAGAAGAGAAAAGATTTCAGAGACAGAACCTAGACACAGAAGACTGAGGAACAGACTTCTTCCCAAAGTACACAGATCCTAGCCCTAAAAGAAAGCCCCAATTTATGAAGTAAGGCTGGAAGAAGTCAACAACAAAAAAATTAAAAGCTAGTATGTTAGGGATACCCAAGACACAAACCCAGAAGAGAATAACTCCAAAACACTACCTGCCAAGCAAAGCCTCAGAGAAAAACACAACTTGACCACTAGATCAGTTGGAATTCCAAAAGAAATGATTCCAGAACAAAAAAGGAGTTAAAATGATATTAACTGAAAGTAATAAGAGGGCTGTAGAAAAGAGTTGGAAAAGAAATGAGAGGTATGGAGGTGACTTACAGAATTGCCAGTTTAGCACAAAAGTTACCAAACCTTTCTCCAAGTAATAGGCTTTCTGAAAAGTAGGATGGACCAAACAGAAGTAATGACTCCATGAGACAATAAGAAATATTAAAAGTCAAATGGTTAAAAAGTTAGGAAAAAAAGATATAAGGTATTTCATATGAAAAACAACTCAACTAGAAGACTAATTAAGGAGAGATAATTTAAGATAATTAGACTATTTGAAAGCCATGACCAGAAAAAAAAAAAAGGGCCTAGAAATCATACGTCAAGAACTTAGGAAAGAAAACTGCCTCGAGGGCAAAGTGAAAAAAATAGAAAGAATCCACCTCTTCAAAGAAATTTCAAAATAAAAACTTCTGGGAAAATCATAGCCTAAATCCAGAGCCCAAATCCAAGTCACATTAAAAAAAAATACTGCAAACAGTTAAAGTACTGAGGAACCATAGTTAGGATAACACAAGATTTAGTATCTAGTACTAAAAAGAAGTGTAGAGCATGGGACATAACATTCCTAAAGGCAAAAGATATAGGCCCATGAGCAAGAATAATTTACCCAGAGAAACTGAGTATAATCTTTCAAAGGAAAGATTGAAAAAAATTTATTTTTTTCAGACTTTGATTTTATTCTAGCATTCCTTGTTGTCTCATGGAGTTATTAACTTCTAATTTCCAAGAAATCTGTTACTTGATTAAGGTTTTGTAAATTCTATACTAAACTGTTCCTTTCTTTGCTCAAGAGCTCTCGTTTCATTTATTTATTTCATTTTCAATTCTTGCCTCACTTCTTTAAGGAATTGTATAGTTTGTGGAAAAATCTATGATTTTGCCTAAGGCTTTCTCTGTAGAAAATGAAGAGTCATTTTATTAATCTGTGTAGCAAGGTGACATGTAGATGGATCCTGTTTATACCTACCATGCAAATCTTCTTCAGTATCACATTCATCTAAAGAGATCTGAGGCTGGGCCTTCACTTCCAAGTTTCTGCTTAGCCAGCTAGTTTGTTCCAGAGAAGAACCAGCTATATTTCCCACAGCTTCCAGGACTTTTTGGGTGATGTCCTGAAAAGTAATCAGTGGAAATAGAAGTGAAAAATAAGTTACTGGCAAAAAGTTCAGTGTCCAAATTAGCCAGTCATGTCAGAGTAGTCATATCAATACTCTGGCAACTATGCTGTATACTATTATTTGAAGATATTGCTTTTAAAACTTCTTGGGTACTCTGGCTTTTTGTTGGTAATGTACCTTTCACACATAGTACAGAAAGCAAAACTAAATAAGTGTGCAGACAGAAAGTACTACCAAATTATTTAATAATTTAGTCATGTTTTCAAGCCAAAATATAGCTTAGAAGAAAATCATAACATAAAAAACTGGGGAACAGTAAAGATGGAATATACTATTTTAAGTATCAAAAGTACCTGAAAATACAATGATAAACTATTGTCAATCTGAATTTATGACCAAGAAGTAATCAAGAATATTCAGTATATTAATAAAACAACATGAAGCTAACATTTACATTGCTTAATTTAATATTTTAATGGAATGTTTGGTAGAACATTTAAAGCTTAATGACTAAAAAGTTTCCTCTGGAGAGAGATTTATTTCCTTTCTTGTTTTTTTGGTTGTTTGTTTGTTTTTGTGTTTTTTTTTTTTTGCTAGGCAATGGGGTTAAGTAACTTGCCCAGGGTCACACAGCTAGTAAGTGTTATGTGTCTGAGGCCACATTTGAACTCAGGTCCTCCTGAATCCAGGGCTAGTGCTCTATCCACTGCGCCACCTAGCTGCCCCTCCTTTCTTGTTTGTATTAGCTTTCAGAGGTGAAAAACTGAAAATATATATAAAAATGTTATCTGCAAATTATTTGCAGTGTATAATTTCACTTCTCTCTGATCTAATTAGAAGCATCTGGTAGTGTAGTAGATAGGTTCTGGAGGAAGATATGAGTTCAAATTCAGCCTCAGACATTGCTTACTAGCTGTGTGATCCTGGGCAAGTCACTTAACCTGTCTGCCTCAGTTTTCTCAACTGTAAAGTGGGAATAATAATAGCAACTATCTCACAGGGTTGTTGTGGTGATCAAATTAGATAACATTTGTAAAAAGTACTTAGCACAGTACCTGGCACATAGTAGATGCTATTATAGATGCTTATTTACTTTCTCTTTCCCTGCAATCTAAAATTAATATGCTAGAAGATAGAATTATCATTCCACCTAAAATATGTCATAACTGATGATTAAATCCATATGAAACATTATATACTACCCCCAAAGGCAAATGATTTTTGTAACAACATGCTGTGGATTACGTGGGCAAAACAGTAACAAAATACTTTTCAATGAATGTACTTTCTGTCATAATTAAAAGTAATGGAGGAAGTTCAAATTAAGAGGATGTATTTTTCAAGATCAGTTTCTACCCATGAGAACACTATATCTTATGAGATACCCTGGCAATCTGCTAATGACAGCGAAAGACTTCTAGGCTAGGAGTCGGCTAAATTTTTCATTTACATACCTGTAGGTCTTTCTGATCCTTCTTGCTTTCCAGGTTAGGCGTTCTTGTCACAAAATCATTGAGCATACTATTGAAAAACAATTCACTCCAAGTCAACAACATAAACATTTTTGCTGGTATGAAATATCCCCCAGTGAGAAATACCATGACAATTTAAACATCCTGATTTGATACCTGAGGAGCAGAAAGTATCCGGGTGGTGCTAGGTTCAATTGTACAGATTCCTTTAACACTCCTAACAACGAAGGGAAGTTTTCCTGTAGAACTGAGACAGAGAGCCTGTTTAAAAATAAATCAAGATATAACAGAATTTGAGAGTTAGAAGGGATATCCGTGATCATTTGGTCCAACCAATACACCAAAAGAATCTCCATTATTATGTAACTGACAAATGGTCTTCCAACCTCAGCTCAAAGAATTACAGGAAGAAGCCATCATCAAGACTAAATTGGACTTTTTGCAACTTCTACCCACTGCTCCTGGTACTGCCCTCTAAGGCCAAGTAGTACAACTCTAATCCTTCCTCCATATAACAGCCTTTTAAATACTTGAAGACAGGTACTTTGTTCTCTGTGAGTTTTTTCTTCTCCAGGATAACCACTTCCAATTCCTTCAACCGATAATTATATGACATGAACTCAAGGATCATCTTGAGTTACTCTCCTCTGAACACTCTTCCATTTATTAAAATCCTTAAATCCTAATGCTCAGAACTTTGAGAACAGTGGGATTATCATCTCCCTATTCCTGAAAACCCTGTTTCTCTTAATGTAGCCAAAGATAGCATTAGCTTTGCAGCTGCTACATCACACTGCTGAGTCATTTTGTGCATGAAGTCCACTAAAATACTGAGATCTTTTTCAAAGGACCTGTTGCCTAACCATGCCTTCTCCACCTTGTGCAGTTACTTTTTTTTTCCTACCCAAATGTAAGAATTTATATTTATCCCTACAGAACTTCATCTTAGATTCTGACACTGTCATACAATGTGTTAGCAATCCTTCCCATCTTTGTGTCACCTGCAAATCTGATAAACATGCAATTTATGCCTTTATTAAAGACACTGATAAAAACAAAAAAGAAAATAGCACAGGACTAAGCACAAATTCCCCAGGGCATTCTGCTGGAGATCTCCTGCCAAGCTGATACTGACAATCATGATACCTCTTTGAGTTGAGCTATACAACCAGTTCTGATCCATCTAACTGTATTAAAGTCTAGTCCATAATGTTCCACCTTCTATACAATATAAGATACTTGATACATGACATCCTTTATCAAAATCTTTGCTAGAGTTTAATATGATTATATATATATAGCCTATATCAGAATGCTTGCCATCTTGGGGAGGGAGAAAAAATTTGGAACTCAAAATCTTTTAAAGTGAATGTTGAAAACTATCTTTATGTGTAATTGGAAAAAATAAAATACTATAAAGTGAAAAAAAATCTTTGCTTGCATCTGGGCAAATTTTATTTAGTAAACAAGCATGTCCCTCATCTACTAGCTTAACACTAGACAGAACATGGTTAACAATCATGAAACAAAATGAAAAGGAAAGGTATCTTTTCATTTTCTTGTCCTTTACCCTCAAATACAATATGTGCAGCAACAATAAGACAGTATAGGTAAAAAATACAAGAACCTAGCTTAGCCTCTAACTAGCTGTGTTATTTAGCACAAGTCAGTTCACATCTCTGGTCTTCCATTTCTTCTTTTGTAAAATGAAGAGCTTGGATTGATGATTGACAAGGTCTCTCCTGAAGCTAAAATTATAGTTCTGTCACGAGACTTCCATTTCTAGTTATTATGAAAAGCTATGCAGTTCCAATCCAAAATATAGTGATGAAAGACTACAGAAGACTGGAGAGGTTATGAAGGAATTTGAAAAGCCAAACAAGTCCTTGTTTCTGCAGATGTAACTGTGGCAGATGAAGAAAAAAAGAAACTACCATCTATTCCAGAATCTGGTCTGAAAAGGTAAAAGACTTTTGTGGTACTTAAGGTCAAATGCCTAAAGAAGGTGGCCATATTAAAAAAAACTTTGTAAGATATAGAGGAATATTATCTATGAAAGAATTAAAGCCTGCCATAAGGAATACTGATAGAGATATAGAAGTGAAATTTGACTGATTAGAATGGCACAAAAATCTGGCAGCTACTGTGTACCTGCTGAATACAAATTATCTTTTGTGATCAGAATTAGAGGTATCAATAATGTTAGCCCAAAGGTCTGTGAAGTATTAAGACTTCTCTATCTTCACCATATCTCTGATGGCACTTTTGTTAATCTCAATAAGGTTTCAATTGACATACTGAGCATTGTGGCACACCTGAAATCTGTGAATGACTTTAATTTACAAATGTGGTTATGGCAAGATCAAGAAATAGAGAATTGCCTTGGCTGATAACACTCTTATTGTAAAATCTCTTGGTAGATAAGGAGTTATCTATACGGAAGCCTTGAGCCATGAGAGGTACACTGTTGGCAAGCATTTCAAAGCTGCCAACAACTTCCTGCGGTTCTTCAAACTATCTTCTTTGTGGGACAGAATGAAGAAAAAGTCTATACATCTTGTGGAAGGTAGAGATGCTATTAATTGGAAGGCTAGATGAAAAGGCTTATTAAGATAATGAACTAAAGGTGTCTACCATGATTATTTCTCTAATGGTCTATTAATAAAAATTCCTGTGATTAAAAACAAAACAAAACAAAAAGCCAAAAAAGATTTTATATTTGATCCTGGAAGTAATAATTGGAAGTCTTTGGAGTTTATTGAATTAGAGAGGGAAGGGTGACATGGTTAGACCTGTACTTCAGGAAAATCAATTTGACAGCTGAGTGGAAGATGGATGGACTGGAGTGGGGAGAGACTTGAAGTAGGAAGACCAGCTATAAGGAATCAGGAAAATTTCCCAAAATCTGTAAGTCAGACACTTAAGGCAACTAGTCCAGAGAAATTTGCAATAGCCATCAGTATGTTTTATTTTAATTCAGCAAATGTTTAAGTACCCACTATGTGAAAGAGACTGTATTAGGTCCTAGGGATACAACCCTATTCTCAAGAAACATGCATGCACATAGCTATGATACAAGCTGGAAAGCATGTTGGACTTGAAGTGATAAAAGAACTGAGTTAGAATACTAGTTCCAGCATTTAATAGCTATGGGACCATTGAGGGTAAGTCATTTAACTTGTCTGAATTTCTGTTTTATAGTTTACAGTCTCACCTGTAGAAATGATGATATCATCTTACAAGATTATTAAAAAAAATAAAATGACACGAAAAGTATATTGGACTATATAAATGTCATCTCTTACCATCACTATTATTAGGAGATTAGGCTGGAAAGACAGACTGGCTTCAGACTAGGGAGAGCCTTGAATGACAGAATCAGAAGTTCATACTTTATTCCTTATTTCTTCTCCCGGCTTTGCCTTTGACTTTCTGGACTTCATCATGCCTCAGTTATTGTTTCCCTCGTGAACTTCACTCAGCACCTGACATCTCCTCACTCTGGAATATCCCTTCCCCATGCTGGCCTCCTTCTTCCATTGGTGAATTTGTTCTAGGACCCACTGTTTTGGGGACTGGCCAAGATTGACCATGCTTTATTCTCCACCTCGATGTGCTTCTGACTTTCTAGAGTTTGCCTCCATGCCCAGCTGCCTTTCCACCCTGGAATGCCTGCTTCCCATTTTTCAGCTCCACTTTGTGTTATCTTTCCTGGTTAGAATGTAAGCTCCTGGGGCCGGTAGGTGGTGCAGTGGATAGAGCACTGGCCCTGGAGTCAGGAGGACCTGAGTTTAAATCCAGCTTCAGACACGTAACACTAGCTGTGTGACTCTGGGCAAGTCACTTAACCCCAATTGCTTTGCCAAAAAAAAAAAAAGTAAGCTCTTTGAGGGAAGAAACTGTTTTCTTTTGTATTTGTATCCCCAGTACTTAGCACAGTGCCTGACCCACAGTAAGCCATTAATAAAGGCTTGTTGCCTGCCTTTATTTTATAAGAAGTAGGGAGCTACTGAAGGTTCTAAGAAGAGGAATGCAGAAGAGAAAAATAAATAATGAGCACATTGTAAGAATATTAAAAATGAATATTAATATTATATAGAGGACATGAAAAGGTGCAGGGGGAGTGTCTGTGAGGAGGGGACAAGCAAGATGCACCAGAAAATCAATGAACAACAGGATTAAAAGATGTCAACAAAGAACTGTATGATGGTTAAGAGAAGACAGACTGGTCATGCAGAGAGGGTGAGTCATGGCAGGTAGACTGCCAGCTTGCTCCATTGATACTCCGAGAATGTCAAGAGAAAGCAAAGAAGGATCCTAACACATTAGATGGCCTCCCAGAAGTGAACCTATGAGAGAACATGGATAAAAGTCACACAGGATGAGAAGGCATGGATGGGTTATAATCTGTATTGCTGAAGGTATCTTCCAAATAAATGAGATCAAAGAGACATTTCAGGATAAAGTAATTAATTATTCATTACACTGCTATCACCACTTTGCCCAAGCAAGGTCTTTTTGAAAATAGATTATTTTTTTAAAAAAGGTGTTTTTTTAAAATAGATGGAGAAAAATCTGTAGATGCTGGATTAAGCACTTTCTCCGAGATGAACATGCCTTTTTTTCTAGTCTTTCTGTAATTAACAAACCAAAGTTGAGGCTCACATAAGACAATAGCAGATATTTTACGTAGTACTTTCTGGTTTAGAAAGTGCTTTACTCATATGGTCTTGTGAAGGCTTATGGAAACAAAACTTTATAATAAAAACTAATTTTTTTTCTCTATTCTTATAAGTGGCATTTCTAATAAGCATTTTCGTAGACATATTTTGGCCTTTTACTTAATTCATTTGGTCCTCAGTTTCCTCTTCCATAAAATAACAAAGTACCTTTCAGTCACTGGATCCTACGTTCCTTTTTAAAAGAACACTACATTAGGCCAGGCCTTATAACAAATATTACTTGACTGTGTGTTAGCATACACCACAAAAATAGCAGCTTAAGTCTCTAATGAGGGAAAATGAAATCATCTGCCTTGTCTATGCTTGGAGAAGCAATGGAAATATCATTTGGATAATCTCCAAGCCAAGACTCTAAATTAGGAAATAAAGTCATACTTACTACTAGATGTTAGTGTAATAGAGTCTGTGACTTGGGAATATCTGATCAAGAAAATTACATAAACTAAAAACTCAATTACCTTTGAAGGTAAGTGTAGCTGAAATGCAACACAGGAATATCCACTAGAGATGATTTCTGAAAATAAACACAAAAAATTACTGTTATTCAGTAGAAAATAGAGAGAAATAATTTTCAAATACAAGGAATGTGATATTCACATATCTTGTTAAATAAGAAAAATCACACTTCACGTATCATTTCATAACTAAATTCAATAAACATAAATTAAGCATACCATATGTATGGTAGGACATTGGTTTCTTGAGACAGCTTCCCTGACCCTGACACTGTTTCCTTCACCCACACAATCTGATTGACCTGAGATTTCTGGATGCTGCTTCCTTATCTAGGGACATAAAAGGTCCCAACCTTGTGTAGTCAGGTCCTCTCAGGCTTATTGGGTGCTCCAGAACACACAAGTTGTTGTACCCTGATGATTGACTAACAAGACATGTTTTCAGATAGAGATGAAGGGAACCTCATTCAGAGAAGCTAAGTGTCCTTATATCCTTGTTGCATATTCTTGCTGTGTTATGTCAGAGTAAACCTTTTTTGTTAAATCTTGTGAGTACCTGATTTCATCCCAACATCAAACTAACAGGGTGCTGGCTGAGAGCCAACAATGGTGCAAGGCATTGTGGCAGGCAAACAAAGACAAACAAAATATTCCTTCTTATAGTCTCTTTAAGAAAATTAGAAATGTCAAGGGAACATTTCATGTAAAAATAGGCATGTTAAAGGCAAAAAGGTAGGGACTTAACAGAAGCAGAAGAGATTAAAGAAGAAGCAGCAAGAATAGACAAAAGAACTATACAAGAAAGATGCTTAACATTATATATAACCATGATGGAGTAGTTACTGATCTAGAGCCAGACATACTGAAGAATGAAGTCAAGTGGGCCTTAGGAAGTATTGCTAACAATAAGGCAAGTGGAGGTGAAAGAATTCCAGCTGAGCTATTTAAAATCCTAAAAGATGATGCTGTTAAAATGCTGCACTGAATATGCCAGCAAATTTGGAAAACTCAACAGTGGCCACTGGATTGGAAAAAATCAGTTTATATCACAATCCTAAAGAAGGGCAATGCCAAAGAATGTTCAAACTGCTGAACAATTACACTTATTTCACATACCAGCAAGGTTATACTTAAGATTCTGCAAGTTAGGCATCAGCAATATGTGAACTGAGAACTACCAGAAGAGCAGGCTGGTTTTCAAAGAGGCAGAGGAACTAGAGACCAAATTGCCAACATTCATTGGATTATGGAGAAAGCAAGGGAGAATGAGCACATTGTAAGAATATTAAAGAGAAAACATCTATCTCTGCTTCATTGATTACACTGAAGCCTTTGACTGTGTAGCTCACAACAAAATGTAGCAAGTCCCCCAAGAGATAGGAGTACCAGATCATCTAACTTGCCTACTGAGGAACCTGTGTGCGGGCCAAGAAGCAATAGTCAGAACTGAACATGGAACACCTGATTGGCTTAAGACTGAAAAAAGAGTACAGCAAAGCTGTATATTTTCACCTTATTTATTTAACTCATATGCAGAGAACATCATGTGAAATACCAGACTGGATGAATCAAAAGCTGGAATTAAGATTGCTGGGAGAAATACCAATAATTTCGGATATTCAGATGATGCCACTCTGATGGCAGAAAATGAAGAAGAATTAAGAAGTCTCTTGATGAGGGTGAAAGAGGACAGTGTAAAAACTTTAAGTTTAACATAAAAAAAATTAAGATCTTGGCAACTAGTCCCATCACCTCCTGGAAAATAGAGGAAGAAGAAATAGAAGCAGTTTCAGATTTTATATTTTTGGGTTCAAAGATAGCTGCACATGGTGATATGTGCACATAGCTGCAGCCATGAAACAAAAAGACAATTCCTCCTTGGAAGGAAAGCTATGGCAAATCTAGACAGCATACTAAAAAGCAGAGACATCACCTTGCCAACAAATGTCTATATAGTCAAAACTATGGTTTTTCCAATTGCAATGTATAGCTATGAGAGCTGGACTGTAAGGAAAGCTGAGTGCCACAGAATCAATGCTTTCAAATTATCATGCTGGAGAAGACTTTTGAGAGTCCTTAGGACAGCAAGGTGATCAAATCAATCAATACTTAAAAAAAATTAATCCAGGTGATTCACTGGAAGGTCAAATAATGAAGCTGAAGCTTAAATACTTTGGTCACATAATGAGAAGATGGGAATCATTGGAAAAGAGCCTGATGTTGGGAAAGACTAAAGGCAAAAGAAAAAGGGGACAGCATAGGGTGAGATGGATAGATAGTGTCATGGAAAGGATAAACATGAACTTGGACAGACTTTCAGAGATAGTGGAGGTAAAGTGGCCTAGAGTGCTATGGTCCATGGATGGGGTCATGAAGAGTTGTACAGGACTAAATGACTAAATAATAACAACAATACATTACATAAATAAATGTAAGGTGATTTGGAGTAGAAGAGGAGCTTAATAACTGGGCTGAGTGGGAGGATGAAGTTGGGTAAGTCTTGACAGAAGAGGTAGTATCTGAGTTGAGGAACGAAGGAAAAGAAAGACTCAAAGAGTTTAGGAGGGAGTGCTTTCCAGGCAAGAAGGAAAGCTAGAATGAATACAATGAAATGAGAATTTGGTTGTTGATTTCAGATAACAGCCAACAGTCCATCTGCCCAGATCTGCAACTAGAATATATGAAATACTGATAGAAAGGCATGTTAAGACTAAATTGTGAAGAGCCTCAAATGTTAGGCTGAAGATTTTGTATTTTATCTTAGCAGCAATAGTGAAACACTGAAAAACACAGTGAGCTCTTTGTCTAAGTATGATTATTTTGGCATCTACATCACTATGGTTTTGCAATATACTCAATGTTTATAGCACAAAGATTGTATTATTCTTGCGACATTTTGCTATGCTTGTGATATTCAAATACTCAATCTGGCCAGTGGGGTAATCCTCAGGAAAGGTCATTTGCTGAAAGGAGAAGTTAGAGATAGAGTACTCAGGAAGAGGAGGTTTGAAATAGCTGCTGTGGAAAATGAGGAAGAGAATCAGAAGCAAATAAAAGATTTCTATGTAGGAATGAAAGCCATTTGAAGTCAGGTAATATGAATTGGTACTGGGGATCTAATCAGAATGGTTTCTCATGAATTATTCTTATAATATCTGGTGGATTGGAAGGCAAAGTGAAGAAGACAGCAAAGAAGGACAACTTGGGGTTCAGGATAAGCAGAATGTAAACACTGGAAGGACAAGGATATATGAGATCTAAAGGGAGAACACAGTACTTTGCTGAATTATTAAACTATAGATGCAATTATAGCCAAGACTGTTAAGACTAGAACAAATGTAGTAAATTAGGACAATAGTAGATTATTAAGGGACCAGAAGTTGTGATGAGGATGAAGAGCAAAATTAGGAATAAGAAAGGATAAGAAGACTGATCAGTGATGGCCAGCATATTCAGAGGCATCAACGCTAATATTAAAGTAAGGACAAAGGCGGGAGTTAGGGTAGAGAAAAAGATTCTATGAGGTAGATATTGTACTCATTGAGTCTGGAGGTCAATGAACAGTAGCAGGAATCCAGAAAGCATAAAACATGTGGATGAAATGAACTTCAAAGGAAGCCAGGTGGCTGAGTGATGGCAATAGGAAAACAGAAGGGGCAGTGTGGAACAAGGAACATGCAGACTCCTGTTGTCTGAATCATCCTGAGGACTAGAATAAAGAGCTGCCAGTTTTACAGGTTTGGCAAAGAATGAAGTGTGTGCTTTCAAGAGTAAACCAAGTTTTAGTGAACAATGAAATGCTTTTAAGAATTGAGAGAAAAAGACTGTTTCAAAATTGAAATAGATTCATGTTTCTGTAAAATTAGTTTTTTAAAATTAAAGACAGTCAATACATACTCAGATATTCTATATTGCACTCTCACAAAACTTTCATAATGTGTGCAAATTTTAGCTTAATTAGAAGCCTTTAGGAGAAAGTGTCAAACAATAGGTTTAAGATTTGGTTGTTAGAATGGAATTCTGAGTGTTTATTACATTACTTTGATTGGAAATTACAAAATCTATAAACGAAATCCATTACTTATATAATGTAATGGAAAAATAACAACTAGGAATATAAAAAAGCTAAAATGATCAACAATGAAATATTTTACAACTCTGTAACATTTAGGAATTTCAGCACCTTGACTGAATAATGGGAACACTTAGTTACATTAAATACCTTTCACACATTTCCAAAAAGGCATGAAATTCAGACAAAAGACATGTCTAGCTTGGACATTTTAAAAAATGCAGGATAATTAAGCTGTCCAAGTGTCACTGTAAACAAAATAGAATTCTATACCAGGAAAAATTTAAAAACAAGTTTCCAGAGATGACAGACTCCAAATATATTACTACCATATGTATTACCTCTTCTCCTTTGATTTGTGATGGTTTCTTGACAACTTCTTTCACTAGGTACAATATTGTGTCAGTTTTCAATGAATTAAGTGAAGAAATTAAATCTACAAGAGTTAGCTGAGAGGTACTTGCCACAGGAACAATCTGTAACAAAACCCAAGGGACATCAAAACGTATCCAAAGAAAGAAGAAAAGAGTGAAAGAGAAGGAAAGAAACACTTCTTATTGATATAAAACAAAAAAAATGTTAATAAAATCCAATTATAGCTTCCTAGATGAGAAATGTAGTTTGCTTTATGGCCTCAGTAATTGGTCCTCTGCATCTCAGACTATGATGCAGTGACCACTTATCCTTTCTGGAGGACTGAATGGAGCTCTCCATAAATACCTTGAAAACCTTCTACTCATGACCAATTTTTCTGTATTCTGGTTGGTTTGCTTGAAGTAAATGTATGTGGTTAATTTAATGGCTCGTTTCTTCTTACAGGGAATCTCAGTTCCTTCACCACTTGTTTTAAGCTTAGTTCCCTTTGAGTATGGGTTCTTAACTTTTTTAATGTCATGGACCTCCTTGGAAATCTGGTGAAACTTATAGACCCCATCTCAGAATAATGTGTTGAAATACAGAAAATAAAATGCATAGTACTAAAAAGAAAATCAATTATACAGAAACACAGTTATTAAAATACTTAAAAAACAAAACAAGTTCATAGACCCCTCCTTTAGAGGTAATGTTGTTTCTTGGTGGTTAAAACCATTATCTGCATCATTACACCTCTCTCCAAAGGGACAACAGCAGATTGCCTTCTCTTCCTATGACAAAAGCCCTGACTGAGCTCCTGTTGGACTGCTACCCATGGTTCTTTCCAGGTTGAACAGCACCTTTAATTATCAGCTGATCTGAAGGCTGAAATGATTGATTGAAATTGCTTGCTGACAGATTTATACCTTCCAAGTTCAGTCAATGTATTTTCCCAACCCTCATTCCCCAACCTCCAGTCCCTCTCCCCAGAGAATGATCTCTCAGAATTTTATTACTCTAAAAACTGGGAGAGGGACTAGATTTGAGATATCATTAATGTAACAACTCCCAGATGAGGGAGCTCCCTCTACCAATGAAGGATCACACTTATCTGAACTTAATAGTCTTAGATCAACACAATGACCAATCACAGTTCCAGAGGACTCAAGATGAAACTCAAAAAAACCATGCTAGCCAACTCCAGATAGAGCAGTGATGGGATGGACTCAGGTACAGATTGAGGCCTATTTTGGGGGCTATTGTAGTAATTTGTTTTGCTTGATTATACATGTTTTTAATCAGTTTCATTTTTCTTGCTTTTTCAAGAGTTGGGAGGGGGCGGTGGAAAAAAAAGGAATGTATACCTGAAAATAAAACTGAATTAAAGAAATTCAAAATAAAAAAAAAATTTAGATGCACTAGAGCACTGTCTCTAGAGAGCAACAGTCTCTAGAGCACAGAGAGTATAAGTGATTTTCCCAGAATATGAAAGGCAATAGGTGTTAGAGGCACTCCACCTCTCTCCCACAGTGATGAGGTGGACTTTTCCTTACCAAGGCTTAACTCTTGGCCCCACCCCCACTCCACCCCAGTCTCTCCCTGCCCCAGCAATCCCATTTCCTCCCATCTTTTCCAACAGACTGCCCCCTCTGTTATCCCCACTCTATCACTTCCAGTCTCTCCCTGTTTACTCACTCCTTCCTTACTACCTACAAACATGCCTAAGTCTGCCTCATCCTGAAAAGTTCTCACTTAATCCTCTCATCCCTGCTAACTATCATGCTATTATCTCTTCTGCCCTTGGTGGCACCTTTCCAGTTTCCTTACACCTTATTCCCTGACAAGTACTAGCTTCCTTGTTCCACAAAAAAGACACTCCATCTCTTGGCTTCTGGCATTTTCTCTGGTCGTCTCCTATTCCTGGACTGCTATTCCTCCTCATCTCTGCCTCCTGCTTCGCTGGCTTCCTTCAAGTCCCAACTAAAATCCCAACTTCAGTAGGAAGTCTTTCCCAATACCTTTTAATTCAAGTGCCTTCCCTCTTCTAATTATTTTCTCTATATCTTGTATATAGCTTGTTCACATGTATTTGTTTGCTTGTTGTCTCACTCATTAGATTATGAGCTCCTTGAGGGCTTGTCCTTTGCCTCTTTTTGCATCCCTAGTACTTAGTACAATGCCTGGCATATAGTAAGTGCTTAATAAATGTTGGCTGATTGACTTGAACCTAGGACTTACTGGCTCTGAAGTCAGATCTCCATGAACTATACCAAGGTGCCTCCCTAAGATTTTCTATTGAAAAATGTTTTCACATAGAGTAACAATACAGTTAATTATCATGATCAGTAAGAAAAAGGCTAGTATCACAATTTCCATTGTATAGTACTTCTTTCAGACAAATTTTGCCAGTATTTTAATATTGATATTACCTCTTCCATGAGTTATTTAGCTTTACCTTACTATGATGCTTGACTTTCTTTCTGCTCCACACTGCTGCAACTGCTGCTGTTAACTGGACCCCAAGCTGAATTCCCAGGGGGTTCAAGAAATCTAAAATTTTTTGTCTTATGGTCTAGAAAATAAAAATGTTATTATATAGTAAATCACGCTAAAACACTATCTCGTGAAAACCTTTAAAAATTCTCTACCATTGTAGGGCTTGAACTTTAAGCTCGGTCTTTTCTCTGTCTCTCAAATCAGAGCCTTGAAGACAGCACTGGAAGTTGAAAATGGACTATGCCAATGATTCTATGAAGTTTGTTTATTAACCTGGGAGCCAAGCAGAGGGGCAACTATGAAAGAGAAAAGATCACTTCCTTTTTCTTTTTGTCTTTCACCCCAAAGGTCTACTCTCAACTTACAAGACAGCCAGGAAAACTCAGAACAATTATGACGAAGCCCACTTGAGAGATATCTGTGTGAACCCAAGTACCTTGATTCTAGCTTTTCTGAAGATTTTCTATAGGACTGTATATTACACAAGTGGGTTATGATATTCTTTGTGATAACTTGACTTTAATCATGTTCATCTCAAATTTAATAATATGCAACATTATAGCAGCTGCAGATGCTTCTCTGACTTCCTGTAATGCGGAATGATGATAATTTGGTCTACACACCAGGAAGGTCTAGAGTCCCCTGGACTATATTGACATAACCATGATAGAGTACAATAAAAGAATTGCTAACATTTGTTTAAACAGACTAATTCAAAAGTAACGCAACATCTTATACTGAAGAACTTAGGATGAATACTACAACTACATAAAGTTAATGGAGACTGCTTACTAAGTAACTTTTAGACAAAATATTTTCTTTTTAGGGTTTCTTGCTTAAGGGAATTGGTCCTTGAAAGCCCAAGACCTAATCAAAGAAAAGGGCTTATAGTGAAGTGTTAAAATAACTATAGAAATACACTGAGCCAGGTGATTCATGAATGAAGTGAGTAAGTCCCTTGGGTAAATTAGAAGGAGAATAATGAGACAGTCTCTCTACTATTGCTCTTTCTCACTTCTCTGGGGATGATTGCTCCTCAACTGCCTCCCCCTAAGTCCATTTTGTAATAAGTACATCTAGTCAGCTAGGTGGCTCAGCAGATAGAGTGCCTAGAATTAGGAAGACTCATCTTCCTGAGTTCAAATCTAACCTCAGACACTTATTAGTTGTGACCCTGGGCAAGTCACTTAACTCTGTTTACCTCAGTTTCCTCACGTGTAAAATGAGCTGGAGAAGGAAATGGCAAACCACTCCAATATCTTTGTCAAGAAAACCCCAAATGGGGTCATGAAAAGTTGGACGTGACTGAAAAAGAACTGAACAACATCAACATCCAGACTGCAAAGGCCTGTGTTTAGCAGTATTTATAAAGATAAAGTAAATGTTTAAAAGAAAGTTACGCAGACATTTCTGTAGCCAGAAGGAAAGGTTTCAGACTTTCCACACAGAAGCTGCAGAGGAAAAAAGGGATACAGGATTCCATGTTGTAGTCTGCAGGCTAGGGTTGGGTTTCAGCAACTCTCTCAATAATCCTTGTGCCTAATGGTCCCAAAAGTATCACTCTCATAGAGATCACTGTTTTTCTCTTTACTCTTCCGCTTTCAAAACTCCACATGACTTCTCAAAGCATTCATGAGGTCAGGAGCTGGTTCCTGTTTATCTGTGATTTCAGCCTGGATTGAGTATTTTTAAAGCCAGGAATGGGGGAAGGGGGAGGCCTAGGGAGGGGTGGAAGGACAAGGAAGGAGAAAAGCAATAAAGCAAGAGAAGGAAGAAAGAAGAGGACCAACATTTGGAAGTGTTTCTTACTTTGGTAGCTTTAAAGTAAATTAAAGATGATCCTTTTGAAGATCCAAAGAAATCAGCTTGTCTTTTTTGGGTTTCTTCTTTTCTAATTACACTCCACAGAAGTGACATGGTGTTAACAATTCGAGGCAATTCTTCCAAAATGGCATTCTTGGCATTTCTCAAGTTGATAGGGTCACTTATAGAAGCTGACTAAAGAAGCAAAAATAATGTACATATATATTGTAAAGTACCACCATTATACCTTCACCCAGAGCCCCTTCCCAGTAAATATAAATTCCTTCAGGGCAGGAAAGTTTTGGTTTTTTCCCCCTCTTTTACCTATGGCCACTTGTGTATTGAAGTCACTCAACCAGTTTACCTGGTTTGGCCCCAGCTCCCAGGATAGCTCACGATCATCTATGCTAAGGCTTGATCAGTCAGAAAAATTGGTGTTGCAAATCCTGCCCCACCTCCCTCCATTTTTTTATTTGCTGTGGCACAGTCCTAGCTCCCTCTCCCCGCTTCTTGTTATTCCAATGGACTACAACATTGCCTGACCTTTTCAGTGCCTATTAATAGCATGTCAGCTTTGTCTAAAGGCTCTATATAAGCTTTAGCACTGAGTAGCGCTAGATTTGTGCACATCCTACTACATGTCTGAGCCACTACCTTCGTACTTCCCATGGGACAGTGAAGCAACAAGAGTCACTGACCCTGGTGACATCTGTTCTCCTCATCTTTCTGAGGTACCTTCTGTCTTACATAAATATTTGTTGAATAAACATGAATTTGTAATATTCACAAAATGACTGGCCAAGATTAGAATATCTGTTACAGTGGAAAAGAGTTCTCTTTTCTCTGAAAATTACTGACCTGTATTTCTATATGATAACAATACCATAACTTTATTGGAAACTATTTAATTTATTCACTTAAAAAAGTCATTTAAGTGACATTGGGCAGGAATCTTTTTAGTGTGGTATAGAAGCATGTGCAATTACTTCTTTTCCTCTCCATTCTCTTTGAGATGGAGGATTTTCTTTTCCTGAATTGGGAGGCTGCATGATGAAATGAAGAAGGCAGTGGATTTGGCCTCACAGTACTGGGGTTCAAAGACTTGATCTGCTACTTTCTACTCGTATGACCCTGCACCAGTCACTTAACCTCTCTGAGCTTCAGTTTCCTTACCAATAAAATGAAGGGGTCAAAGTGGATATATAAGACCCTTTACAGCTGTAAATTTATGATTCTTATTGGGAGTAGGTATTAGAACAGATGAATATATAAGCTAGGGACTAGATCTGTGATTTCATTGGTACATGGATTTGCCAGATGAGGAAACTTCTTCTATCAATGTTAGGTTAGCACTTTCTCTGAAATTTTTTTTCTGTAATATTCATCATCAGCTGCTCTGTTTGGTTTTGACTCCACAGCATCATGCCTCCCCCAGGATAAACTCATCATCTTGGAAACTGATTCAACCTTGATATTTGATGCCTCCTCCACACCCTCAATTGTCTATTTCCTCTGAGGGCCAGTGGGTGGAACAATGAACTGTTCCCAAGGCCTCCACTTACAGAAGGCTCAGACTTTTACAGCTAACTTTATTTACCATTACCCTGGGCAAGTCATTTAACCCTGTTTGCCTCAGTTTCCTCATCTGTAAAATAAGATGGGGAAGAAAATGGCAAACCACTCTAGTATCTTTGCCAAGAAAACTCTCAATGGGTTCATTAAGAGTCAGACACAACTGAACAACGACTGAACTGAAACTACTGGGTTTCAACTACTTGGTTCATGCCCCTAAATGAGGGCACCTCCTGGTGCCTCCCTTTCCTCTTCTCCTGGTGCCCCACCCCCAGCTTCCTTTTGTATATTGTATTCTTCCATTAGATCGTAAGCTCCTTGAGGGCAGGGACTGTCTTTTTCTTCTTTGTATTCCTAGCACTTAGCAGAATACCTGACACATATTGGTCATTTAATAAAAGTTTATTGACTAGGAATTTATAGTCCCAGGAAGTTGCCTAATATAGAGGTGTTAAACATGCTGCTGGCCCATACTACTGAGTGCAACCAAACCAGATTAAAATGTAACTGGAAATACTTAACAATATAAAAATACAATAAAACATAGATGACATTACATTTTAAAACTAAATTAATCTGTGGCCTGCAGGGATCTTACCTAAGGATTAGTGGCCCCATTTCTATTTGAGTTTGACATCAGTGGCCTAGCCCACTACTGAGTGGGCAAGTGACTTACTCAGGGTCTTCTTGGCTTCAAAATCTATTCTCTTTCTACTCTACCACACTGCCTCTCACTGATGAATGAATATACATTTTAAAATTCGTCACAGTTGAACACGATTTTTTATTCTTAATTTCACATTATTTGTGAAATTGAATGTTAGACAAGAGCATAGAAATACAGAATCTTAGAGCTAAAAAACTCTTTAGACATCATTTAATCTAGCCCCTTAACTGATGAAGGATTCACATATCTTTAGGACAAAGAGGCAAAATGCCATAGTAGACAGAGAGGTGGGCCTGGCACTAAATCCTGCTTCTAGGGTTTACTAGCTATGGGACAATGGGGGAAAGTCATGTAACATTGTTGATCCTCAGTTCCCTCTTTTGTAAAATGAGAATAATGGGGCAGCTAGGTGGCATAGTGGATAGAGCACTGGCCCTGGAGTCAGGAGGACCTGAGTTCAAATCTGAACTCAGACACTCACTAGCTGTGTGACCCTGGGCAAGTCACCTAAACTTGATTGCCTCAAAACCGCCCCCAATAATAATAATATATGGATTATTCTTACCTAATAGGAGTGTTGCGAGGCCCAAATAAAGTGATACATATCATAGTATTATTAGCTACGTATATTAATAGTTAATATACATGTAGTAGTCAAATAGCTTCTGCTTAGTCACCTCCCATGATAAGAAAATGAACTATCTCATGAGATACAATCAATCAATAATCAATCATTTATTAAGTACCTACTATGTATTAGGCACTGCAGCATAAAAGCAAAAATGTAAATCACATGTCTAAACCAAAAAAAAAAATGTAAATACTATTGCTTTTCTGAAACACAGACATAACCCAAATGCAGAAAAGACAAGGTATCACAAACTGCCTCTTGAACTCAGAGAAAATACTTACCATTTTTGTTTGGTTGGATTGTTGTTCCAGGAGGCAAAAATGACTAATGGTGGTTAGACCTTCCAAGAGAGTGAGTGGATAATCTGGAGAAATGTTCTCTCTCTTACAGGATATGCTTTGGAGAAAAGGTAATAAATAGTTTTCAGAATTATGAAATTCCCCCATACCACTGAAGATTCATTTATATATTATGTTTTGAATTGATTTTTTAAAAGTGTATGTTGAAAATAAGATGTAGACAAAATTACACCACAAAGAATATTAAATGGTGCTTGACATTTACCTCAAGGTCTTGATATTCTTAGAAGATGGTGGGGCACTATTAATTCCTCATTCTGTTATTTCATCTCTCCCTGCCCTGCCTCTCCTCACCTCCCACCCTCTACTTCCCTTCCTCTGACTCCAAAAGAGGTTGGGAATGTGAACCATTTTTGAGCCCTCCATTATCTGAGAAAGGCCTAAAACCTGGATTGGCCAGTCAGCAGAAAGACATTTTTGGCCCACTCTGAGCTTAACCTACCAAAATGCTTTGCATACTCTGGCATAACAGACATGCTTTGCTTTGTTTTCTGAGTGAACCCAAAATGCCCTTTCCTATGTCAGCAACTACAAGGCCAGATGAATCTGACCAGAAACATTCTTCTGCTTATGACGACCTAGAACAAGGAGCCTTGAACTGGACACTACTTTGAACAATGGGACTTTTATGTTTTCTTATGTTGTATTATTTCACATTAATGACAAAAAAACCACAGACATCCTGCATCTATAATTTCATTTGACACCTTGACATTCTCTTATCTTATTGTATTTATAACCTATCCCATTAAGAAATTCCTTTCTCACATTATGGCTAAATGCATATGGAGACTATAATTTTGGGTTGACACAGACATCCTGAGTTGGGATTGCTCTAAGTGTATAAAGGGTCTCCTTCGGCTTGTTTACCTCTGAGGTCAGAATTATTTTCTGACTCCATCATGCATGATTCTCTGGCTTAATAAGAATAAATAAGCATGTTATAACACATGTACAGCCTGATTCTGTTTGCTCCTTGTTGAAAACTTTGGTAAGGTGAACTCCATTCTGTTTGTCCTTGAACACACCCCTGGTAAAGGAGTAACCCCATTCTATTTGTTCTTAGGACAAACCGTTGGTTAAGGGGAAACTGATTCTGTTTGTTTCTTTGGACCAAACCATTGATAAATGGTTAACAGGAGTAGGGGGGTGGTAGTTATGGCAACAAGTTTGCTTGGTCTGCTTGATAAGTCATGGAGCTCTGGCCACTCAATTGTATATAAACACTTTTGTTAGGCAGCGCTGGCAGAAGGGAGCGATTTAGAGTCAAAGAAACGTCATCAGAAATGTCTGGTCTTCCCTAAACATTTATTAACTGTTAGATTACAAGCAAGTCACTCTGCCCCTCAAAAACTAAGTTTCCTCACTTATAAAATCAGGATAAATACTATCTGTAATACCTACCTCAAAGGATTGTAGTGATTGAAGTGCTTTGCAAACCTCAAAGGGTCATACAAATAGGAATTATTATTTAAAATGTTTTATATCACTTAAAATTATTTTCCTTTTAACAATGATCCTATTAGAAATATTTTAATTTTTATCCTTATCCTACAGATAAATAATCTGTGGTAACTGATTTGCCATCAGTCATAGCATTTAGTGAATAAATAAGATTAGAATTCAGACCCTGGATATTCTCCTTTGCCAATGACAAATAACCCATCACATATATTAAAACAATGTTCCAACTACAATCTATTTCAAATTGACTATTTTATACTATACTCCATAACAGGAAAAAATTATGTATACTGGCACATCTTACCTGATAGAAGACTTCACAAACTCATTTTCATATTGCCTGACCAGCTCATCTAAATTCTTGCAAATCTGTACGACAAAAGGAGCAACAGTCCAACCTAATGATTTCCCAAAGTACGGTAAAGAAGATGTGACCAAACTAACCCAGGCTGAGTGCATCCCATAACCACACTCTGGCTGTAAACCTCGCACCACAGCAGAGATGAATAGTCCCTGAGAAGTAATTGGGTGAGGCTGTACATACTGCATGGCACTGATGGACTCCTGAAATTTGAGGGTCTTTTGCCATTCCTTAGACAGATCTGACTGATTTTCCAGTTCTTCTTGGACCTTTCCCAGATGGTGTTCCAAGATAATCAGGACCTGCAGGAGTTTTAGCAGCTCAATCTGCAGGGGATTCCAGATCTTATCCTGACCAAAACTAATCAGGCCTTCTTCAAAGTGTATCTCTTCTCGAGAGGGCTTGTTTTGATCTGAGGCAAGAAGTTCATACTGCTTCTGACTACTAAACATGGAAACAGATAAAGAGAGGAGCACAAACTCTTGAACTTTGCACCTCTCTAATAAATTCTGTATGAAGTCCACATTCTTCCCTTTAAATGATTTGGCAATACTGGACAATTGACTCATTATCCGAATCAAGACCTCCACACTTTTGATCTGTACAGCTTGGTTGCCAAGTATGTCTTGGTGGGAGACCTGTACATAGCATGGAAAGTATGAACGTAGGAAGCTCAGGCAGAGGTAAATAAGTAACTCAATCAAAAGGGAATGAGGGCATGTTGTGGGTGACTGGGTCTGAAGCTTTCCATAGAAACTCTGCCCAACCAAGGCTTCTTGGTGGCGTGCTAAGAGGTTATAGATGAGGTTCAAATGAGAAGTGGAGCTGGAATCCATGTTAGTCCTGCAAACCGCCTCGATGAATTCTTTGGGGTTGGATTTGAGTATTGTCTCTAGCACAGAAAAGGCATATAGGACTCGTCTGGAGTCATAGGGTTGTAGGTACAACAGAATGTGTTTAAATAATGCCTCAGTCATTGCCTGCTTTTCCTTCTGCTTCTTCAGTAACTTGGACATTGTGAGAGTCTGATCCACATCAACTTCCTCATCACTAGAGAGTGACTCAGAAGCTTGGGTCTTGTCTGAGTCAAACCGCACTAGGTTCCGTTTGGCAACTGTTTTAGAGACCTGAGGTTGGAAAACAGATGTTGAGGCGGAATGCTTAGGATGAGCTCTATCATGTATGGGGGTGCAACAGTTTTCTTCACTGCTCAACTCATGAGGATCCAAGGAGGGTGTTGAGAACGAGGAAGTATTTTCACTGTCAGTGTGTCCTAAGCTTGTATCTGCTGACTCTGTGTGCTCACTGTTGTCCTGAAGCTCACCTTCTGGCCTGTCAGGGATGTCTGTGCCACAAGGGACATCATCATCATCATCTAGGTCATTTCTCAGCTGAAACTTCTCTGGGTCTTTCTCCACTTCAGCCCAAATAGCTTCCCGGTCTACAGTAGTAAACTGATTTAAGGGCAGGTTTTCATGAGAGCTTCCTTCGTGACGTTCAGATACCCCATACATTTCTTTGAAACAAGCTTTTTTCTTGCTAAACCAATGATGTAAATCCTCTGAAAGTGAAGAGATAAACAACTTTTTAGAACAACTGAATTGGCAGATTTACTGGTTCTCTAAAGAAGAGAGACTCACAGGACTAAAAGAAGTAGTTTATTTAACAGTCTAAAAACTGTAGAGTTGTTAAATTATTAATCGTGAGTAGGAGAAATTATTGTGAATATATTTTTAAAAAGTGCTTTACATGTGTTAGCTGATTTAATCCTCACAACAGCCTTGGGAAATAGGTGCTATTATCCTCCTCATTTTCTACAGATGAGGAAACTGAAGCATAGATATGTTAAGTGACTAGACCAGGGTCACACAGCTAGTGTGTGAATGAGTTTGCTCTCACGTACATGAAATGAGACAACTGATCAACCTGTTCAGACAGTCCCAGTCCTACTGCCCACACAGAATGCCTTCAGGAATTACCAGGACCTAATTCTTCTGTTGATCCTGGCCTCAGTATTACCCTGATAATAATGTTCTGGGTGGCCATTGCAATGATCTTGTTTCTAATGAGACTTTTTAATCTCAGAGGATCCATCATAGCTAGAAAACCAACCAGTCCACATAACACACAAGACCTGCCTTCTCCTCCTGTGGACTAGACTTTCTATGATAGAAAATGAAAATAGCTTGCACCTTGAATGACCAAATTGAAAAAAAAAAAGACTAGAGCACTCAACCCAATTAGTGCTATTTTCCCCTTTGCATTTACAGCATAGGATGGTATTGTCTTCATGAGCTACTAGAAATTTTACTGTGATGTAATTTTTGCTGCCCATGTTGCCATCATTCCTATTTAGAGTACATTTGAGTAAAATAATTTTACTCAGAGCTTCCTAATTCCAAGTCCTGCACTCTATCTACTGTGTCACCTTGCTGCCCCACCTCATATATATTTTTGGCTAAACCTGTAACTTCACTGCTGTAGGGAACACCTGATGAAGAGCAGATCAGCATCTATAAAGAAAATTATCTTCTTAAAGAGTTGCTTGAGGCATTAACTTGCTCAGGGTCACAGAGCAAGAATTCAATCACAGATTGAAACCTTGATTTTCCTGACTCTTGGGTCAGTCCTCTATCCACTATATCATATACCCTCTCTCTAAAGGGTCTGTTACTTTCTCATATATAACAATCATAGAATTTTAGAGACAAAAGAACTTACTTTACAAATGAGGAGACAGATACACTAAATGTTTATAAAGGCTATTTTAACATAGAGCCTTTATTTTTAATAGAAATAATACACTTACATAATACTTTAAAGTTTAAAAGAAGATTCCTCACAAAAAATCCTCTGAGGTATGAATATAAAGTTTAATTAACTGGACTTTATGCTAATTTATGATCTCTCAGTTATACATACCTGTCAAAACCTAGTGATTGGCCAACTCAGATGACAACCCCATACTTCATGGTGGCTTCTTCCAAGTATTAGGTATGGTAACTAAGAGGGAAACTGTCTCATGAGCATTAGCCCTGACAAACCCAAACTCCAAGGCAGCACAGGGTAGTGGATAGGGGATTGGATTCAGAGTCCAATGTCCTGGGTTTAAATTCTGATTCTGCCATTTGTCACTTGTATCCATACCTCTGGACATTAGTTTCATAACATCATAGAATCAATGATTTAGAGGTGAAAGAGATCTTAAGGGAAAAAAATGCATCCAATCCAAACTCCTCATTTTACAGATAAGGAAATCAAGTCCAGATAAATTAAGTGACTTGCCAGATTCACAAATCAGTAAGCATCAGAAGCAGCATTTGAGACCTCCAAGTCCAGTGACCCTTCCACTCTGCCATGCTGCGTTTCAACCACAAAATGAGGGAGTGGGCTAGGTGATTGCCAAGATCTCTGTAGTTAGGAATCTACAATCATTTAGTTATACCAGGCTACCTAGCTTGCTCTGTCTAATGGTGTAAGCTTTCGCTGTGAGGCTAGAAGTTCCATTACTGTTGGCGTGTTCCCCTGCAGCACTTAAACCATTTGCACCAGAGAAGGAGAAAGCAATTATTTTATTTTGCAGAAGTATAACCCTATCTGCTGAAGTCTTTTCTTTTTGTCTATCTTCAGAGGAATCAGATTTTTCAGGAGTAGTAGGAAACCAAGGAACGCAAGTATGTCTTAGTATCGATAAGTGCTGGTCTCTTCTGATTTAACAAACAAAAAAAACAAAGCCCCATCACCACTACCACTACAATATTCTCCTAAGTTATAATGGCATGGTTCCTTTTCATAGCTCAGTACTTGCCCTTGTCTGCCCATTCCAATGTTGTTACCTGCTGAGTTTTTCCGCCTGATGCAGTGAATGGATATTCTCTGTGTCTTTGGGTGAAGCAGAAACAAGAGAACAGGTTCCAGGATCCGGGACACATCATTAAGGGAAAGGGCACGAACCAGCCAGCCTTGTGCTGCTGCACCAATGGCCTCATCAGAACAAGTCAGGCTGTCCAATACTACAAATAAGGACCTGCAAACAAATTCTAGGAATTCATGTGTTGTGACAAAAAACAGGAATACCATTGACCTATTGCTGTTAGAACACCTCAAAATAAAATACCTCATGCTTTCAAATATAAGACATTTCAACCCTTTAAGTATTTTTTCTAATGACGATCCTGCCCCAAATCACAGAATTTAATTACTTTTTCCCCAACACCGAAATCTTCCCCTTTGTAACAAAGGAAAAACTTAAGTGAAACCAACAAACTCCATGAGCAAATCTGAAATCATTCTGTCACTTTCTGTAACTCTAGTCCCTCACCTCTCTGAGGAGGAAGGAATTTTGTATCGTTTGACTACTTTTGAAAAGTTCTGTACGGAGAAATATTAAATGTCCAGTGAAATCTGTAAGCTACCAACTTACCTATCGAAGGAACGATTGTGGGATGTCACTCTGTTGCTTTGGATCTCTCTTGTTAGGTGCCAGATGATGGAAAATCGAAATATTGCTTCCAACCTTGTTCCCTTGAATGCAAGATAAAAGGAAAGGAACAGTTTGGTTCAGCAGAAGAATACAGTATTTTTCATGATTTGAGTCCTAAATAAGAAACAAATAAGGACAGGAGAACTGCCTTTCTACCAGAAGAAAATAAAATACTCATTATCTTTTTTCATTTCTTGCTTGTTAAAATAGACTGGTTGCATGTGAAATGTGTATTTAGCATATAAGAGATTCACTATAGTCCAAGTTAAAGTCCAGACCTTTATCTAGGTAGTTACAATCCCCCCATCCCCTAACCCCAAGGCAATCTGTGAATTCTTTTAATTAGAATTTCATTTTCTAAGTTCAGAAGATCTAGGCAGTTCCAGGAGCAGTGTGAAGATGGTCATGTGAGAAGTAAGAAATGATTATATTTCCTATAAGGAAGTTGAAAGGAAAGTAGCTCTGGATCAGCTGAAACTGACTGTTTGATTAAAGAGGCTAGAAAGAGGACAAAGGTTAAGCTTCACTTAGAGTGTGCATGCTTGAAACTTACCTAGGGGAACATGTGGTGGGCGTTTTGGGAAATCTGTGACCTGTACTGACTTTTACCTATGAAAGTCAGCTAGGAGGGACTTGCGGCTGGGAATAGGTTTGTTCTCACTTCTGTAATGTGTATGTGCTCATCTCGAGTTCCACACCCACTTCCTGCAGGAAGCATATTAACGGTTTCACTGTTTCACTTATCCTGAATCTGTTTAACTTGCTGTGCTTATTTGGGCACCAGAGGTTATTTCCAACAGTGGAACAGAGGAAACAGCTGAGCTTTCTCAACTTTCCCCTCCAAATAACTTTAAAATAATGCTTCCAAGTGAAGTCTGGAGTGATAGAGCCAACATCTTTCCAGCCCAAGACAATGTAAGAGATTGGAATGAGGAGTCTCTGACCCTGGGGTGGGAGCTGGCCTGGAGTGCACGTGGCAGGACCACTTGTGGTTGGCATAGGAAGTGACAACAGCAGCAGCTTCAGGAGCTCTCAAGCCAAAAACAGAGGATCTGGCAACTGGTGAGGAAGAAATTGCATAGAATCCCTGTGCTAGCGTTGGGTGGAGGACCAGACACTGTTTGGCAACTCCACTGTCAATACGCTTCTGGGTCACAGTTGTAGGGCAGAGAGGGGTGCTTGCAGTCACAAGGGAGCAGGGCCCCTGAAGACCAGCATTATTTGTGGCTTCAAGGGATCAGAGGCCTTTCCTGGGTAAGGACAAGAACACAGACCAGGAGAGCAGTGAGCACAGGTCTCACCAGATCACACTACCTTGGAAGTAACCAAAACTTTCAAACACTCAGAAACACTCAGAACTAGCTCTGCAAACAGCAGTGAGAAAAAGCCCGAAGCTTGGAAATATTTCCCTTTCATCTCTACCCCAGGAACAAAGCCAAACTTTAACAGAAAGTTAAAAGTAAAGAAACAGACTGGAAAATGAACAAACAATAAAAAAAAAAGAAAGGAGAGAAAGGAGGGGTGGTGATAAGGGATGTTTGTTGACATGGAAGAAGACCTAAGCAGATAAAAAGAAATAAGGCTCTACCTCAAATCATTAATAAATCAAAGGAAAAAAAAAAACAGCAATGAAGGAAAGGGTGAAATTAGCAAGTAATAGAGACTTACTTTGTCAGGTTCCAATAACGAATGGCAGATAATATCTTCACAGATGTTAGCTGATGGTGCCAGGCAATGTAGCTTGTAGAAGAGTTCCACGCAAGCAATGTGATGTTCCTGTGTGTCTTTGTTCAGCTGATTCCAGAGTACCTGTGCCACTCTCTGTGACAAAACAGTAATTATTGAAATCTCTTTTTAAAAAAGATTTAAAGAGAAAAATGTTAGCTTTTCCCCAAGTTTTCATGAACAACAACACACCCATATAATATTGATAAGCAGGTGCTAACATTACAATTTTTAAGCATGAAGTTGAAGATTTCTGGGTATCTATAATCATATTAACTCATATTCAAACCTCTATGCTTCCCCATGTAAAACAGTTAGTTTTGTTTCATTCTGCAGCCATAAACTGCACCCCAGTAAAGTTTAGGTCCTGGGTTGAAATTAGATATTTGTGTGTGTGTGTGCATCTGCAAAAATCAGCATAGATATATATCTATTATCTGTAAAGTACATCTCAATATGCATGCCTCCTGATACTGGAGGTGAACAACATCATTTTCACATGAGGACATTTTTAATGTTTTTAAAAGTCAGAGATGGCCTTAAGATCCATGCAATATAAACATGAATGAAGCAAAACCCAAGCTGTGAGGAATAAGATAAAACAATGCAGAATTTCTGCTAAAATAAAGCAAAATTAGAGAATAATTTTTAAATGAATGTTTAGGTGCTTTCACCTAAAATGGTTTTTGCTTATGATATATTTTTTTAAAAAAATAAAAAAGTAAGCCCACTACATTTTAATTTTTTAATTGAGACACTAAACTATTTACAAAAAGAAAAAAATTATAACTGTTCATGTTATCTTCTGGAAGTTGACTGGTGAAATTAGATCAATAAGGAAAATGCACACAGCACACATCTCTCTTGATGCCTGTATTTTTTTCCCATTGTTCTTGTAGTGACTACAGTTAACCATTTCCAAGTCATTCTTCCCATTCCATGTGAGCTCTTCAAACGAAAGGCAGGCTGCTTGCAGCTACTTGCTATTTGGGGCTCTTGTCATGTGTGCTGAGTGACAGCACACACAGCAAAGTCAGAGGTGGAAATGATGCTGCAGTTGGGCCATGGCATCGATCTGGACAGGCTATGGGGCTAAGATGTTAGGAATACTAGATCCACCAATGCCCAGAGGCAAATATGGAGTGGGTAGTACTGTTCTGGACTGGCAGCTGCCAAGAAATCTCAGCTGCTAGGATGATCAGGCTGGGAGACTGATTCAAATGTCAGTACTTTTCTCTAATGGTTTGCAGAGCAAATCCCAATGAGTCCCAAAAATATAACCTCTTCCCTTATTATGCAATTAATCAACAAGTATTTATTAAGTGTTTATTATGTTCTAGGTACTGAGCTAATAGGGGAGACAGCACATGTAAATAAGAATATAAAAGTTACTACAGAGGATAGAGAAGGTAACCTTAAGAACACATGCACTAGCAGCTTAGCACAGTACTTAACAAGCACCATTTAGTACATGCTTCTGGACTTGACTGGAGGAGGGACAAGGGGGAGGGAAGAGGGAGAGGAAAGGCCTCTGAGAGACATTTCCACTGAGTCTTTTTTTTTGATTTTACTAATTTATGGATTTATCAACAATCACTTCCATATGCTTTTGAGTTGAAAATTTTTCTCCCCCTTCCTTCCATCCACCCTCCCCAAGACAGCACACAATCTGATATAGGCTTTACATTTTCATACATTCCTATTAAACATATTTTCACATTAGTGAAGTTGTAAGTAAAAAATTAAAACCAATAGGAGGAACCATCAGAAAGAGGAAACAAAATTCAACAGAAGGTAAAAATAAGTGATAGCGATTCGACTTCCATAGTTCTTTCTTTGGATGTGGACAGGATTTTCCATCCCGAGGCCTCTGGAGATGTCTTAGATCCTTGCAATGCTGAGAAGGGTTCAGTTTAACAATATTAATCACCGCATAATGTGGCTGTTATTGTGTACAAAGTCCTCTTGGCTCTGCTCACTTCACTCAGCATCAGACCATATAGGTCTTTCCAGGTTTTTCTGAAGTCAGCCTGCTCATCATTTCTTATAGCACAATAGTATTCCATTACATTCATATACCACAACTTGCTCAGCCATTCCCCAATTGATGGGCATCCTCTCAATTTCCAATTCTTTGCCACCACAAAAAGAGCTGCTATGAATATTTTTATACATGTGGGTCCTTTTCCCATTTGTTTGATCTCTTTGGGATATAGCCCCAGAAGTGCTATTGCTAGGTCAAAGTGTATGCGTATTTTTATAGCCCTTTGGGCATAGTTCCAAATTGTTCTCCAAAATGGTTGGATCATTTCACAACTCCACCAACAATGCATTAGTGTTCCAATTTTCCCACATCTTCTCCAACATTTATCATTTTCCTGTTTTGTCATGTTGGCCAATCTGATAGGTGTGATGTGGTACCTCAGAGTTGTTTTGATTTGCATTTCTCTAGTCAATAACGATTTAGAGCATTTTTTCATATGACAACAGATGGCTTTAATTTCTTCATTTGAGAACTGTCTGTTCATATCCTCTGACTATTTATCAATTGGGGAATGGCTTGTATTCTTATGAATTTGTCTTAGTTCTCTATATATTTTAGAAATAAGGCCTTTATCAGAGAGACTTGTTGGAAAAATTATTTCCCAATTTTCTACCTTCCTTCTAATCTTAGTTGCATTGGCTTTGTGCAAAACCTTTTCAATTTAATGTAATCAAACTTATCCATTTTGCTTTTCATAATGTTCTCTATCTCCTGTTTGGTTATGAATTCTTCTGTTCTCCATAGATCTGATAGGTAAACTATTCCTTGTTCTCCCACTTTACTTATGGTATCAGCCTTTATATCTAAGTCATGAACCCATTTTGACTTTATTTTGGTATATGGTGTGAGATTTGGGTCTAGGCCTAGTTTCTGCCACACTCTTTTCCAGTTTTCCCAGCAGTTTTTTTCAAAGATAGGGTTCTTATCCCAGAAGCTGGGGTCTTTGGGTTTATCAAATAATAGATTACTATAGTCATTGACTACTGTGTCTTGCATATTTAACCTATTCCACTGATCTACCTCCCTATTTCTTAGCCAGTACCAAGCAGTTTTGATGATTGCTGCTTTTTAATACAATTTAAGATCTGGAATTGCTAGGCCACCTTCCCCTGCATTTCTTTTCATTAGTTCCTTTGATATTCTGGACCTTTTGTTTTTCCAAATGAATCTTGTTATTATTTTTTCTAACTCTATAAAATAACGTTTTGGTAGTTTGATTGGTATGGCACTGAATAAGTAAATTAGCTTAGGTAGGGTTGTCATTTTTATTATATTAGCTCAGCCTACCCATGAGCAACTGATGTTTTTTCCAATTATTTAGATTTGATTTTATTTGTGTGAAAAGTGTTTTGTAATTGGGTTTGTTTCGGTAGGTAGACTCCTAAATATTTTATAATGTCTATAGTAAGTTTATAGTCTTTTTTTTTTTTTTGGCTAGGCAATGGGGTTAAGTGACTTGCCCGGGATCACACAGCTAGTTATAGTAAGTTTAAATGGGATTTCTCTTTCTATCTCTTGCTGTTGGGCTTTGTTGGTAACATATAGAAATGCTGATGATTTATGTGGGTTTATTTTATAGCCTGCAACTTTGCTAAAGTTGTTTATTATTTCAAGTAGTTTTTTACTTGATTCTCTAGGATTCTCTAAGTATATCATCATGTCATCTGCAAAGAGTGATAGCTTTGTTTCTTCTTTGCCTATTCTAATGCCTTCAATTTCTTTTTCTTCTCTTATTGCTAAAGCTAACGTTTCCAGTACAATATTGAATAACAGTGGTGATAATGGACATCCTTGTTTCACCCCCAATCTTATTGGAAATGCTTCTAGCCTGTCCCCATTACATATAATGCTTGCTGAAGGTTTTAGATATGCTATTTATTATTTAAAGGAAGGCTCCATTTATACCTATGCTTTCTAGTGTTTTCAATAGGAATGGGTGTTGCATTTTATGAAAAGCTTTTTCTGCATCTATTGAGATGATCATGTGGTTTCTGTTGGTTTTGTTGTTGATATGCTCAAACATGCTGATAGTTTTCCTAATATTGAACCAACCCTGCATTCCTGGTATAAATCCTACTTGGTCATAGTGTATTATTCTTGTGATAAGTTGCTGCAATCTACTTGCTAGTATTTTGTTTAAAATTTTTGCATCTATATTCATTAGAGAAATTCTATAATTTTCTTTCTCTATTTTGACTCTTCCTGGTTTAGGTATCAACACCATATTTGTATCATAAAAAGAATTTGGTAAGACTCCTTCTTCACCTATTTTCCCAAATAGTCTATATAGTATTGGAATTAATTGTTCTTTAAATGTTTGATAGAATTGCATGTAAATCCATCTGGCCCTGGAGATTTTTTCCTAGGGAGTTCATCAATGGCTTGTTCAATTTCTTTTTCTGAGATGGGGTTATTTAAGTATTTTACTTCCTCTTCGTTAATCTGGGCAATTTATATTTTTGTAAATATGTATCCATTTCACTAAGATTGTCAAATTTGTTGGCATATAGTTGGGCAAAATAATTCCTAATTATTGTTTTAATTTCCTCTTCCTTGGTGGTAGCTTCCCCTTTTCATTCTTGATACTAGTAATTTGGTTTTCTTCTTTCTTTTTTTTTTAAATTAACCAAAGGTTTATCTATTTTATTGGTTTTTTCATAAAACCAGCTCTTAGTTTTATTTATTAGTTCAATAGTTTTCTTAATTTCAATTTTATTAATTTTTCCTTTGGTTTTCAATATTTCTAATTTGGTGTTTAGTTGAGGATTTTTAATTTGTTCTTTTTCTAGTTTTTTTAGTTGTATGCCCAATTCATTAATCTCCTCTTTTTCTATTTTATTTATGTAAGCATTTAGAGATATAAAACTTCCCCTAAGAACTGCTTTCGCTGCATCCCATAAGTTTTGGTATGTTGTCTCATTATTGTCATTCTCTTGAATGAAATTATTGATTGTTTCTATGATTTGTTGTTTGACCCAATCATTTTTTAGGATTAGATTATTTAGTTTCCAATTATTTTTTAGTCTATCTTTCCATGGCCCTTTATTACATA